TCCTCTTCTATTTCCTAAATCGGAACTTGGCTCGTATTTTTCATATGATTGTGTGAGGTTGCTGATGATTTAGTACCTAACTTATTTTTGCCTTGCATTATTTGAGCTCACTATTCCCTACGTAGTCTAGTGGGAGTATAGCAAAATGTTTTTTTTCAATCTTTTGATAATGCCAAAAGGGGGAAAAGACAAACTTCATGGCGGCTAAAGTGTTTACCAAGGAACTCACACATCGAAGGTACAAACTTTTCTAAGTTAATAAAGTCCTAGTAATCTAAGTTTTTAAACTTTTTCTAAGATTTTAAAGTCTTTGTTAATTTTTTCTCTTTTGCTCAGTCTTTTTAAAATAAATACTTTTTAGCTTTTTTTTAAGTTCTTTAATTACTCTGTTTTTTTTTGTTTTCATGTCTTACTTTAAATTTCTGTTGCATGCCTGGATGATTTTATTTACTTAAGTTTGTCAATGTTTGTCATCATCAAAAAGGGGGAATTTGTTGAGCCTTTTGATTTTGATGGACAAATTGACAAACTCGACTAATGAATGTTTTGAGTCTTTGGTGAATAAAGGGTTCAAGCAAAGTTCGTTCCGGAGTAGGAACTTGGATGCGGAGTAGCATTCTTTAAAAAGCCTCGTGCAAATCTCACGTTCTAGTTTTAATTGTGAGCACTCAATAATATAAAGTCGGAAAGGAACTCAATGACTTATGTTAAAGACTACTGGAATAAAAGTTAGTTTTAAAAGATAATTTCTTAAAGAAAAGATAATTTGTAAAAGTTTTAATAAAGATAATTATCGAAGATAATTATCTAGTTGTTTTAATAAATAATAAATTTATCTTTTCAAATAAAATCTTTTTAAACAAACTTTTGATAATCTTTTAAATAAATATTTGATAAAGTTAGCAAGTGGTTTTTCTGTGAGAAAATCTTTTATACGGCTAATGGTTATCAAGTTGTTAGGATAGTGGTTTAATTAGATAAGGCTAGGAAACCTCTTCATGATCACAATCTGTCAAGATAACTCCACAAGTTGTTAGTGGGTTGTTGACATGTGGACGTGATTATGGTGGAGGTTAATGACTAAGCCTTCTCTATAAATACTCATGCAAACTATCTCAGAAAAACATAACTCTTGAGCATAAAAATTCCAGTAGCCTTCTAATAACATAAAGAGAGTTATTATCCTTCTTATATTCTTGAGTGCAATAGGTATTTGTAATCACATATTGTATTCAAGTACTTAGGGGTTGGGATTGTGAGTTTGTAAAGTGAGGTCAAGGAAGCTTCGTTGCTGAAGGCTTCTGTGAGAGTTGGGAACAAGTTCCTAGTTTGTGGAACTTGTTAACGGGTTTGAATCTTCACTTGTAAAGAGTTTGATTACATAGTGGAAATTTAGAAAAGCCTATATCTTCTCTCGTCATTATTTCATTTAGTTAAATTCCGCAAAAGTTTTTAGATTTCACCTCAAATACAATTCACCCCCCCTCTTGTATTAGCCAGTTAGACTTTCACATGTTGTGATGCTTAACTTAATGACGTTTTTAATTTGCATGACCGACAGTGTTTCTTCTTGATATGGATCCCAAAGCTGTGGGATTCTTTGCGCATTGAGGATGCTAGGTAGGAGTTGGAGGCTGGGGCATTGGATCAGCACCCATTTCCAATGGCATGGATAATGACAAAGTTGCATTCAAATAACGCCATTTTCAATGACCACAGGGAAGGTTATCGAACGAGGATGCACTTCGCTTTTCAGGATCTCAAAGATGAGGTATATTTTCAAAACTTCCTTGTACATATGTATAGTTTTTTTTTTTTTTGTTTTTTTTAGGGGGGTAAATATTCTGTTTCTTGTTGTTGTTTCTGCTTCTGCTGCAGCAGTTTTTCTCATTGAGTTCCTAGAGAAACAAATATTCTCATATTTGAAACTAAGAGAAATATATAGAAACGTCAAATGTGGAAAACATAATATATGATTCTTTAATGCTTCTCTGCAATTTTAATGTGCCACTGTAGCTTAAGTAGAATGCATAGCAAACATAATTAAGGCATGATCTTCCATGAAATATATAGAAACGTCAAATGTGGAAAACATAATATATGATTCTTTAATGCTTCTCTGCGATTTTAATGTGTCACAGTAGCTTAAGTAGAATGCATAGCAAACATAATTGAAGAATTGAAGTCAGCCAAAGAGATTGAGTAATGAACACTGATGAGAATGTCACGGGAGACTTACTTTAGTACTTTACAATTAAAGTTATTTCAGGACTACCAAGCAAATTCTAATAACTTCGAATAAGGAGCAGTAAGTGTCTAAGCTTCTAGTTTAAGAATTTAAGAAGAAAAATGAATTTCTATGCCCCTCTCCAATAGTCTAATGATAGAAGGATAGTATTTTGTATAACTATTTTTGAAAAGATGTTAGACATTAGCCATTAGCCCTCTTGTCAGTGCATGTACGACTGATATGTGGTAACTTGTTATGACTAGTGATGCATGTTGTTGGGTTTGTGAATTGGGTCTAATTGTTGTGTTGCTGTTGTTATGTTTTATTGACAGGATATTTGCTGGACACCCTATAACAAATGGGTGTTTCCAGCAACGCTTGAAGTGGACAGGCGATATATCACTCGTCTTGGCCCAATTTTCTGCAACAACTTTGTGGTTCACCATCTACCACATGTTGTTCTAAAACAATTTGGACGAGGCGAGTTCAACTTAGAAGGGGAAAAGCTTGACGTTGTTCATCATCAGATTGGATTTGTTGATAATCGTGGTTCTAACCCACATAGATATTTCAAGTCATACCATACTGAGGTAAAATTTTTGGAGAAAAAAATATGCCTTCTAGATGAAGGCGATGTAACCAGTCAAATGAGACGTCTTGGGGCCATTTTTGCCAGGGCTGGCGATCCAAGATTGCTGGTCGATGGTGAGCAGGTTCCTCGGAGAAGTACTCGCCAACGGAGACCGAGTTCCCGTTACAATTAGGGCCACCGAGCCCTGTTTTTTTTTAAGAATTTGTTAGACTGTAGAACACTGTGGATGTTCGTAGAACACTGTGGATATTCGTAGAACAATATGGATATTATGAGACCAACAACTATCATATAATGTCATATTTAGCATTGGAATTATAGTCATCAAATGCCTTGCCGCAAATTCTGGAAGAAGATGCTCGTGCTTTGGATCTACCAAGGACTATCAATATAGCTACTATAGTTAGTTTTATTTTTGTTGCTTTTGTTTTGATGTACTTTCTCTTTTGAGGTCTTCACCTCCCTCTAGCATAAAAAAAAACAAAGCGGAATTTGTTGTAATTTACTCTTTGTAGCTTATTAAGGTGCATATTATAGTCATATATATATATATATATATATATATATATATATATACGGGAGGGTTCCGCTAAAAACAGGGCTTATGGTGAAAACTAAAAACAGCAAATCTCAGCCATTGATTATTAATGATATAATCTAACGGTTGAAATACAAGGTACACAAAATCTTAGCAAATCTCAGCAAATCCTCTGTTAATTTTGCTGAAAAACGCAAAATCTCAGCAAATCCTCTTTTCATCTCATTATCAAATCCTTGTATATAAGCTGAATTTCTTGAATTTCTATTTGATTGCGCATGGTAGGTTATTTCCTTGTATGTGATTATTGTAGACTGTTTTTATAATAGTGCTCTGTTTTTTAGTTTCAATCTCATCAACTTGTAGTTTCAATCCTCATCAACAATATGCTCTTTTTTCGTTTTTGTATAAATATTTGCAATATATATATATTTTTTTTATATTAAAGTTTTTTTTTCCTGGATATATGATATTAAACACTAGGAGAAATTGTTGCACATAAGGTGTTTGTGTATTTGCTTAAATGACTAACACCTTGCTTAATACCATATAGTAACTCTTTTTTATGATACCATAACCATATATTTTAGACTGTTTTTGTTGGTGTCCAGTTAGTTGCACCATGGAATGGATTATTTTATTATAGTACCCATTTTAAACCATATATTTGATATTATATGCAGACAATGCAAGAGGAGTCAGAAGAAGGTAGTTGCTCAAATACATCTACAACTACCAATGTTGCTGAAAACTTACCGTCACTAAAGGGCCCAAGTGTGTGTTACACTCCCAGAGGAACAAAAGAGTTTATACCGTGTTGTCCCCCTGAACTAAAGCCTACACTTGGTATGCTTTTTGATTCCTTACTTAAAGGTGTTGATTTTTATAAGCAATATGCTAGATTTGGTGGGTTTGTGGTAAGACTAGGTACTGAAAAGAGAATTAAAGATAGTGATAAAGTCTACTTGAAATATTTACATTGTAATAAACAAGGGTTTACGAAGGATGGTGAAACTAAAGCAAAAGTTTCTAACAAAGATAAAAATCCTAAAGCTAGAAAAAGAACCATAAATCGTGTTGGATGTAATGCAATGATTGGGTTTAGAGAACGTTCAGATGGAAAATGGATGGTTTATGTCTTTCATGAATCTCATAGCCACAATCTTGCTTCTCCCAACACAATGAATTTTTTGGCAAATGTTGGAAACCTTAAACTTGGCCAGAAAAAATTCATTTTTGACAACTCTAGATTGAACATTGGTCCAAACAAGTCTTATAAGTTGATGAAAGAACATCTTGGTAGCTATGATAATATAGGTGCAACATTGAATGATTTCAAGAACTTTAATCGAGACTTGAAAGCTTACATACAAGAGAAAGATGCTTCGATGTTTATAAACAATTTGAAAGAAAAAGCTGAAAACAGTGAAGGTGCCTTTTTCTTTGAGCATTGTATGGATGAACATCAACGCTTGACAAGAGTATTTTGGGCAGATGCAATTAGTAGAAATTTTTTTTCGTTGTTCTGTGATATGATTACATTTGATACAACATTTGACACCAACAAATACTCTATGGTTTTTCCCCCATTTACGGGTGTTGATCACCATGGTAAGTGTGTGACTTTTGGGACAGGCTTACTTGCAAAGGAGGATATTGAATCCTTTGAATGGTTATTTGAAACTTTCTTAAAGGCAATGAATAACTGTCAGCCTACCTGTATCATGACAGATCAAGACCCTGCGATGAAAGTGGCAATTGAAAAAGTTCTTGATAAGGCAAAACATAGGTTTTGTATGTGGCACATTATGAAAAAAGTGCCACAAAAGGTAGGGCCCAAATTATGCTTAGAAACTGATTTTCTTCATAAACTAAACTCTGTTGTGTGGAATAGAGACCTTGAACCAGAAGAATTTGAAATTGGTTGGCAGTCTGTGATGTCTGAATTTGATTTAGTGAATGAAGATTGGTTCAAAAATATGTATAATATAAGGAATATGTGGATTCCTTCCTACTTTCGTGACCTTTTTATGGGTGGGATTTTAAGGTCAACTCAAAGATCAGAGAGTGAAAATAGCTTTTTCACTAATTTCACCAATCAGCATTTGTTATTGGTTGAGTTGTGGTTTCGCTATGAATCTGCAATCGATGCTCAAAGGCACACACAAGACAAGTTGAATGCTACTTCAAAAACTACACATCCCCAACTTGTCACCCCCCTGTACTTGGAAAAGCATGCTGCATTTGCTTACACTCATAATGTATTTTACATATTCCAAAAGGAATTCAAGCATGCTTTGTACAATTGTGGTATAAGTAATGTTACCATCAAAGAAGAAGAAGGGATTGAGCAATATAGAATTGTTGACAACACAAGGAAAAAAAGCTATCATGTCACATATGTTTTGTGTTCTAATGATGCTTCATGCTCTTGTAAAATGTTTGAATCTGTTGGAATATTATGTCGTCACATTCTCTTTGTCATGAAAGGAAAGTTCTTATTTGAGATTCCAAGGCAATATGTTTTACATCGTTGGACTAAAGAAGCTATGAAGAAACCAATTTTTGGCTTAAACAACTTGCTTGATGGGGCAGAGAAGGATAAGAAGCAAAAGCTAGTTGGTGATTTATGGTGCAGGTTTTTTTCATGTGTAAGTCTTTGTGAGGAGAAAGTTGAATGCCTAGAGTCATTGTTGTCTAAGCTAATATCTTTTGAAAATGAGATGAAAGACTTGGATTCTATAAGTCCAGTTGATAAACGTGAGGCAAAAAATAAACACATCGAATTATTTGTTGGATCTAATGACATAGTTGTTGATATTCTTCCTCCAAACAAGTCTTCCAACAAAGGTAGTGGTAGTGGAAAAAGGAAAAAATCTGACAAAGAGATAGCTATTGAGGAAAGCCAAAGGAAAGATAGACTTTGTAGAACTTGTGGTCAGAGAACAAACCATGATAGTCGGAATTGTCCGCAAAAAAAATCCAACTTGAATGAGGTATTTTTGTAGAAAAAAAATAAATAAATTTTGTACTATGTTTACTTCCCACTAGATTTTCACTTTATATATGTTCGTGTACATGATTTCAGGATTTCAAAGAAGAGTAGAAAGGCTGCAAAACCACTTCATATTTACAAGAAGCAACATCGGCTACTGACAGCCTAGTGCTGAAATAGAGGAGATGAGAGGAAAGAAAGAACATAGTGCTATAGTGCCCTTTTTATTGATATAGTGATTGTTATTGTTTCACATATATTAAAGAGGGACCTTTTATTGTTAAAATTTTATTGATAGGGTGACCTTTTATTGTTAAACTTTTTATTGACCTTTATATTGTTATTTTGATGTAGTGACATATTGGCATATGATAACTTCAATTTATATTATAGTATGTGTTTTTAACGTCATAGTGACTTTTTTTCATCGTATTGACACCTTATTCCGTGATAACCTTTTTAGTGATATAATGACCTTTATTATGATATAACAACCGTATAAAAAATACTCACATTTTAACAATTCTTCTAATCCACATCGATTAAGCCAATACAAAGTTAGGGAAGGAGGGGCTCGTTCTTTTAATTGATATACTAAATGAATAGCTTAAGAATAGATTAATATAAATACGACACTTTTACCTTACATAGTGACCTTTTATTTAAATAGAGACAGATTATTATAGAAATCTTTTTTATCACATAGTAACGCTCTTGCATCTCATAGTGATCCTTTTGCATCGCATAGTAATTGGAAATTTTTACCTCATATAATGCCATTTTACTTACATAATGACTATAAAAAGTAATATAATATCCTTTTTCAAGTTTTTTTTTTCTTTTTTAAGAGATAAAAAAAAGTTAGACATTTTTAGGTACATATTTATCATAGGTCCTTTGAAAACTTGTCACATATGTATACAAAATATAATAATGAATATGGTGATAATTTTGCATTATAACTTAATTATATATAACACATTGAACTAATAACATTTTAAATACATAGTGACCTTATAATATAGAAACCTTTTAAATAACATAGATACCTTTTTAAATACATAGTGACCTTATCATATAGAAACCTTTTTAAATAACATAGGTACCATTTTTTTATAACATAGGCGTCAAATTTATAACTAATATATATTTCACTAAACTTCTTGAATGTCAATTAAAGATTACATATCAAAAGAACTACCAATACCACCAATTCAAAAGCTTTGTATGAACTGGAATCATATCATATTGTTCTATATTAACACTTATACAATTTTGTTAGATTATCCATTTGTTGATGCAAACTACATCATTACATTAGATTTCCTACTTCTGTGCAAAATACAAATACTTCCGAGCAAAAAACTTCATCCACATATTCGTTAGTCTGCCTATACTTTCTTTTCCTTTTTACCTTGCTTTGTTTTCTTCTTAATCCCATCAAAAACATCTTTTGCAACTTGACTCCTTATTAATCTGAATTCAGATAGCTTTTCAAGAACTTCATCTCTGACAATGTTCATATCAGATAATACCAGAGTAGCAGCAATCTGAGCTCTCAATGTCCGTCTAGTTGAAACCTAATATATTAATTTAAGCAAAAATTAGAATAAAAAAGCTAGTTAAATTCCATGGAGGAAATAGTTAATATAATAAAAATTGAAAGCCAAATAAAAAAAATGAGACGAGATAACCGTTTTCAAAACATCGCAGTCGAACACATCAGCTCCATCAAAGTAAAGCATGCTGACCATAGTATAAATGCCACTATCATTATTCTTCTGTTTTCCAGACTTTCAATTTACAGAAGGTGACTCCAAAGTATACTCAATCATGTTCTTCACTGAGTCATTACTTTGAGGAAGGCGTTGATCAAGAAAAGTACTCAGCATATCACTCTAGGCAAAATAAATTAATACTTTAGGTTCCATGAAGCATATCCTAACTAGAAAAATACAAATAAAATCCAAAATATCATATTTTTACCAGAACATCAGAGAACTTCTCAACCTCACTCATGTACTTTGTATCATAACTCATATTATCAATGAACTGAAGCTTTTCTTCCTTCAAATTCACAACAATTAGGAAAAAGTGCTCATTCAAGAGTATAGGAACAAATATCTGCAATAAATAAATAAACAACTATTAAGCTTGAAAAACTTAATATAAAAGTACTTAGTTGAAAAATGATTGTCAACATTTGCAATGTATTACCAACTCAACATTTGCAATATCAAAATCATTGCAAGGAATGAACAACCATCTTGACCAAATGTCAAATAGCTTGTCAATGTCTTGTGTGTTACTATCTGTGTTTGCAACTTTCAGTAAAAAAGCCTAAAAAAGAACAAACATTAATAAATATTAAAAAAATTAGAAGGTAGAGTTATTTTTCTTAAATGTAATTACTTGCATTACATAGTGACTGTTTTCATTGCATAGTGAAATTAATTTATGAATCATAGTGACTGTTTTCAATACATAGTGAAATTAATTTATGAATTTTTTATAATGAACAACTACCATTATAATGATGTAGTAACTAAATAGCCGAAAGATACTTACACTTTGAGAAACACCAAAATATAGTTTTTGAGGTCCATGTGCACTACTCTTCTGGTTTTCATTAAGCAACATAGCCCAACAATCAATAATAACAGAAGATATAGCAATAGCCGGTGCACCTAATGAAAGGAATTCATTCCTTGTAATCTCAAATGGTTTGCCAAAAGATACCAACACCTCACTGTACAAGGAAATAAAAAGACACATGTATATTAACATAGTCACTTATTATTAAAATTTGAAAATAAATAACAAAAAGAACAATGACATGACTTACTTGAGATCGAAACCATGATAATCACTAATGCAGTAGTCAACAAGTTCCTGGACAACTGCATCCAAAACCTTCATATCCTTATTACTTGACTTCATATATTCAGTTACATATGTAACTTTATCACCAAAGAGACTAACATCCATATCAAGGGAGCATTTAGATTTTCCATTACTCAAAACATGCTCAAAACCTATCCTTGGAACCTCACCAACTACAACATTAATCTCTTTTGCAGGTGCACCATTATCATCAATATCATCATCATCCAAACCATTAGGCACTTTGCTTACCCAATTTACAAGAGACACAATCTCATCAACAATTTCATGAACACGAGGATTCATAAAGAATAAATCAGTTTGGGACATTGGAGGTGTCGAAGTTGAAGCATCATTAGATTTACGAGTCTGAAATAACACTTTCAACTCATTCATGTAGAAGTTAGATACCACTTCTAAATCTCTTTTCATGAGCAAAAACTTCTCATAAACTTCCTGTGAAAAAAAATGTAGCACTTAGATTTAATAAAATAATTTGTGACAAAAAAAAAAAAAAAAAAAAAAAGAAAAAACCAAACAGACAGACAGAATTAAAGGGTAAAATACTTACATCAATAGCAATTGAACGGATTTCCTCATTAGACATTGAACTGGCAGGTAGCTCAAACTGAATAACACCCTTAACATTGCTACGGACACCTTCATAAACAACAGATTCTTTTCCAGAAGTTTGATTCACAGGAGCTTCCTTGAATTGATTACAAACAACTTGTCCATCCTCAAATTGCAACTTCTCACTCACTGGATATGTATCAAACTCAAGAATTCCACACCCAAAACCCTTGGACAACTTTTCATTTCTAATTCTATCTCTTATATCCACATCAGTCCAATGTTGAATTAAAGGTATTGTAGAATTTAACACAACATTCCTAAACCTCAATCGATGAAAATAGATAATCTCTAACATCAAAACACAACCACAAAACCATTCTATATTTCCTTCTTTGTAGCTCTTCACGGCTTCACAAAGTCTATCTAAGACATATTTTGACCAATTATAAATTCTTATTTGATTAACATCAACCAAACATTTTACAATTCTCAAATCCACAGTTCTGTTGGACGTAGGTGCTAAAAAACTTGAAAAAGCATGCATGATAAAAAGCTGTCTGAATTCTTCCCCGCCATCTACTAGTAAAGGGATCTTAGATTCCAAAAAACCCAAAGGAATCTGATCATTCTCACCCATAAGACCAAAATGAGACCTCCATTTAACCTTTAAATCATAATCAGGGTTGATGACATTAGCACAGCGAGAAATTTCTTCAACTTTCTTAGATGTTTTGCAAGGAAGGCAAAAAACATCATACACATCAAATTCAGTCACAACAAAATCTTTTTTACCATCAATAGTAAACATGCAGCTACCATGATCAAAACAATCTACCAACCATGATAGCATATCAGTTGCAGTTCGTTTCACCTTCAAAGATAACAAACCTCCAAAGCCAATTTCTTTAACAGCCTTGATTTGATCATCTGAAAAAGTTTTAATCATCTCTACTAAATGAAATGGCCTGCAACGTGTTTTAAATCCTCGTTGCACCCTGTAACAAGACATACGAAAAGATAAACAAAAGAAACCAAAATAGTAGCCTCTTTTTATAGCATAGTGACCTTTTTTTTAAACAAAACTTCAATAAAAAGAAACAAATATTCACTTACATATGTACATCACTATCTATGATTGCAGATTCTTGCCTATGAATCACAATGTTCTTATCCTTATTTGCCTTCACTTTCTTCACTTTAAGACCTTCATTTTCATCCAACTTTCTCTTCTTAGCTGGCAAAACAATAGCATGTGAAGAAGAAGACTCATTCCCCTTCTTTCCTTCCATCACAGTTGACAAAGGTATAGCATTCTCAATGTTAGAAGGTTTCTTTTTCTTAGTGATAGCTTTCTTTTTCAATCCTTTTTCAATACAAGCATCTTTATCTCTGTTAGTATCATCATCGATCATTTTTCTTCCACCATCAATATGCTCTTCATCTTCATGATCGAGATTGATACATGCTAAAAACACGCAAGCATATAGTTATATATACAATTATCTTCATTTTCATCTAGCAAACAATTATAATATAGCAAACTAATAACTTAAAAATAATAATCATTGTCATTGATATAGTGACCTTTTTCAGTTACATAGGGAACTAATAATATAGTAACTTTTATATTAATATAGGGACCTACATTCTATAGTATTAGGAGACTATCATAATAGAGCAACTAGTATATTAAGGTTAATAATCCAAAAATCAAACATTCATCATACCTCCTGTATCTTTCAATTTAACTCCTCCTGTTGAGCTACGAAGGCCTCTCCTTTTTTTAAAAGTAGCACCACCTCTAGTTCTCACCATAGGAATAAAATCTAATCCAAATCGAATGAAAATCCTTGTTGCACCCTGTAACAAGACATACGAAAAGATAAACAAAAGAAACCAAAGTAGTTGCCTCTTTTTATGGCATAGTGACCTTTTTTTTAAAACAAAACTTCAAAAATAACATAGTCCAACACCCCTCCAAAAAGATTCAGTTTATTTTGGTTTGGTTTAGAACCAGTTCAGGTCATATTCATATTTATGTCTTTTGACAACCAATTTGTTTACGAATAAAAAAATCAATTCAGGTCAGGTCAGGGCAGTGAAAATCAGATCAAACTAAGGTATCCAAATCCTCGAATTCTGGCTACCTTGATTCAAGTTCAAAACAGGCCTAATTCAGAAATTTTGAAGCAAAATCCAGTACAGAGTCAAATTAACCATGCACATATGTCAGACTAGAAGTACACTTTTCAACAGTCAAGAAAGTCATGTAGATGTCGATTTAGCATGATCAGAAGCAATCTATCACAAATCCACCCCAGATGTCTGTAGCTCCTGGGTTAGTCGCTTAAGCAATCTGCTCAACACCAAAAATCGGACATATAGAATCAAAGTTAGTATCTTAAACCAGGAAGCATTCTTCATACTTTATGTTCTTTCTTTCTTTCTTTCTTTCTTTCTTTCTACGGTTGATGTGGAAAGAGTCTTTGCATCAATATCACAAACACCAGAAAATTTATCTAAGTGCAAAAGGCAAATAATTCATGTAGGAACCTAATGACATTTGATGCAGCTGAAACCACTTCAAATCACAAATAAGAAAAGACAGGTTGTAAGAGAGAAACACAACAGCATCAAGGAACACCAATGCAACCAAGGCAGTTAGTCCATCTCCAAACATGTCACCATGTTGGTCAGGTCTCAATTCCAGATCATCATTAGCAAGAGATTGATGACCATTCCTGTTGCCTACACCAAACGGAACACGGGAAAATACAAATCGAGTTGGACACCAAGTGGAAGCAGGAACCAGTGTAGCTAATTTATGTCTCCAAACTCTCACTAATTCACTCACAAATCCACTAAAAACACTTCAAATTACTCAAAATTCGAATTAACTACTCCAAACTCTCACTAATTCACTCACAAATCCACTAAAAACATTTCAAATTACTCAAAATTCGAATTAACTACTCCAAACTCTCCCGAATTCACTCACAAATCCACTAAAAACACTTCAAATTACTCAAAATTCGAATTAACTACTCCAAACTCTCCCGAATTCACTCACAAATCCACTAAAAACACTTCAAATTACTCAAAATTCAAATTAACTACTCCAAACACAAACACACACACACAATTCGCATTTTAGCTATTCGCATTCCTAACAAGCATTAATTCGAAATCAAAATCCACAAAAATCAGCTAAACTCGAAATCAACAAAAACAAAATTATGCTCAACAAAAATCGTGTTACTAAGAAGATGAAGAACAACAACAAAAGCAGAATTTCGAGCAAAAATACACATAAAAACCTAGTTTACTTAAATTAAGAAAAATTAAACAAAATACATTTAAAAAATACTTCTACTAAAACGAAACTTAAGTTGAAATTCAAAAAATCAAATCAAATCGAAAAAATAAAATAAAAAAACTTGCAAAATTACAAAATTAAACAAAAATCATACACGAAAAACATAATAGACATTAAATTTTCGGTTGAATCTACAAAAAAGTACTCATGAAATTCCAGCAAACAAAATTTCAGAAACCTAATAACCTCAAATCGTGCAAAAATAGCGAAATTACCACAAAGAACTCACCTGATAATAGATCGTAGAGCTGAGAAATTGCTAAAAATCAAAGTAATTGAAGCGGTGTTGCTGAAGGAGTTCGCTGATGGTAATTGAAGCGGTGTTGCTGAAGGAGTTCGCTAATGTCGAGAAATTAGGAGAGAGAAAGTGAAGAGAGAAGGAAGAGGAGGAAGAAAATAACAGAGGAAAGAGAAAGTGTTTTCGCGGGAGGAGAGAGAAAATTAGGATATATATACATTAAATATCATCCGCTAGATTATAATCTACGGCTGGGATTAATTGTTTTCATGTTTTCACCCTAAGACTTGTTTTTACATGATCCTAATCCTATATATATATATATATATATATATATCCTTATCCTAATTTAGGTTTCTTTATTCTATTGTTGAGTTTCGGCCTTTTGGGTCGGATTGCTTTCGGGTCGGGTTGGATCAATTCAGATTGCTTCCTCCCCCCCCCCCCCCCCCCCTAACATGACTATAAACTAGATTAGAAAAAACATGACTAATACTACTTATATTTTTTTATTTTTTTTTTATTTTTGACAAGTTACTTATAGTCACAAAACTAAGTCATCAAATGCCTAATAGTACTTATAGTCATCCTAATCACTTGGTCCAAACACTAAAAAAGGTCACAAAACTATTTGCTATCTTTTACTAAATAATTTCCAACACAGAAAAAGCTACCAAACCTATTTACATTGCAAAATATATCAAACATATGCTATTCATACCCTTAAGATCAAATTTTATAATGGGAAACTCTAAGACAACATCTTAAAATTTTGGCATAGAAATGCAAATTAACAAGTAAACTGAACTTGAATTAAAGTAAATGGAGGAAAAAGCATCTGCAATTATATATACAGGAATCATTAGACAGTAATAATAATGATATTCAGAACTTCATATGATGCAAGAAATCAATAATTAATGTTATGTACGCATCCTACACACACAGCAAGTCATCAACAAAGCCATCATCATCTCAAATTATACCGTCTTCATCAATATCGTTAAGATAATACGGAGTACTCCGTATGAAAACTTCTAGTGTTGATTTTTGAGACTACAAATTAATTAATATTTCCTCTGTTTTTTTTTTTTTTAGAGGCAACAAGGACCTCACATAATAAAATATTCGGAGTACTTAAAATGGATTAAGAGAATAATCAAGTGAGAGCTTCAAATAAAGGTACATTTCTATTTTAGAAAAATTTTAAATTTATAAAGTAAGAGGATATACTTGTTTCAAACTTTAGAACTTGCAGGTATGGCAATAAGGAGACTGGTGAATTTTTTTTTATTTTTTTATTTTTTTTTATTTCCTTTCAGAAATTTAAAAACAGCTATTAATAATTATGTTTTTTTTATTTTTTTATTTTGTTAATACTTTTTATTTCTTTTATAATTTTAAAAAATAAAAGTCAGTTTGATGGATGGATGGATAAGATAGATCATTTAAAAATAAATATAGGGCCAAAATTAAAACTAATTATAGTGACTCAATTCTTGTAGCCATGAAATAGTCTTCCATAGATATAAACACATAATATAATATTATAAGACATAAAATTTCATAATAAAACAGAAACAATATATATAGCTGAATTGGACATTACAGTAGGGTTATAAGTTGGGAATGAAATTATACCTTGTGCACACATGGAACAAAACGAATGTGAAATAATAGATGATTTAGACAGGGAAACCAGGGTCGAAGTTGAAATAGCATCAATATAATAAGATCCAAAAGGCGATAATAAGACCGTCAAAATCCTGAAGCAAACGTTGCATTGGTGCATCATGACACCTCTCATAAGTTGGTAACAAGTAGAAAAAATCTTACTTTGTAGCATCTTAGTTTGTAGATGAACCGATCTAAAAAAAATGTGAATACGGCTGATAATAATAAACCCTAGACAATTGGCTAAGCTTTATATAACAAGGCTAATTCACCGTCATTTATTTCGGTCATCAGTTATATCAACAATAGTCAAAATTGTAGTGAATCTAGTAATGGTAATTGGAGTTTTTTATTTAATACAATAATGGTAATGGTAATTGGAGTAAATGGACTTTGTATTATTTTTTTTAAAAAAAAAGGACTTTGTAACGGTTGTGGTCCAATAACATAGTAGCACAAAAAACTTAATGGTGTTGATTGTTGAGTATTAATTGCAAATATTATACGGAGTAGGCGTTACCAATAAAACGGGAAAATACAAGTTAATCTTTCAGATAAACAAAAATGGTATTGAAAAAGCAGAGTCATTTATTTAGTATTTTTGGTAAGCAGTCCAATTACTGTTTGTTTTTTGCTTTTACTGTTTGGTGAGGAAATTACACATGTACCCCTCAAATAGTATATGAAAAGACGTATATACCCCTCTACTGGTACTTGAAAAGACAATTATACCCCCTGATAAACAAAATTTGTTTATATGGGGAATTAAATCCCTCTAATAAAACCATTTATGTATTTAATTTTAATTTTGAAAAACAGTCATGGTTTCGTGAATGAAAAATACACTGATGCACTAAAAAATTGAAATGCATTGTATCAATAATATTTGGATTGTTCATATTAATGTAAGGAGTATGAGACAACATAGTGTTTGTTATGCACAAATGAAAGTTTACGGATTGAGACGTCATCACGAATAGAGAAGGCAAAATGTCTGATTTATAATTCGCATTGGATATGAAGGTTCTACTTTACACCAATTTCTTGATGGTATATTCAACAAAGTTACCTGTGATAAGAAATACTAGCTTAGTCTACCCCTCCTTTTTCCAAGGCCGCCATGTAATTGCCAAGGCAATTACTGCTAGACCTGCAAATGAAATCGTTGTAGACACTACTGCAAGTCCTGCAACCATTTGTATGGTTGAAATCAACAAGGCTACAAACACTAGTACCAAAACAAACCTATCTATATTGACATGCTGCTTGATTGGTTTCAGTACTATAGCTTGAACTGCTGGTTCCAACACCTCATTGGCTACTGCTTGGATTGCTGCATCCACCGCCCACATGTTGGATCGAGTACTGTCATATCCTGTTTTACTGCAGGCTTGTTGCCACTTCCACCACAACCACCACTCGACTCCTGGAAACTTATCTTGATCATTGCATTCTTGGCCTTCATCACCCCCGTGTTTTCCTCCATTTCCATTGTTGTTGCCATTGCCCCTGCTGCTATTTCCATTACTGTCATCGCCACTGATGTCCTGTAACCTGCATATATACACAGTTTCAGCAGTAAAAAATAGTATAAGCAGCTCTGCAGCAGTAAAATTTGTCTAAAAAATAGTATAAGCAGCTCTGCCCCGTTCACATGTTTAGAACTCGTAGTGATGCAAGCTAGAATCATGGACATTACTTCTGCCAAAAATTCAACTCTTACAGCAAAATTTCAAGCAATCTATGTAAAATATTTTATAGTGATTGTGGTCTAAAAACTTACTGAGAGTTTTGTACTATATTTACAAGCTCTTTCTTCTCTGCCTCATCACCCTTTACTGACTTATTACCATGATTTTCTGCAAGTTCACAACTTCGAAACTGGTGTTTATCATAAGCTGAGATGCACCTTCTTATTAATCCCTTTAAAGGACCGTCTTCCCTTCTCTTTAAGGCCTGCAGCTTGAATACCGGCACACCAGAAATCTTTCTATTAGTTCTAACTTTTGTTTTTTGTAAAGAACTATGTAATTGTTCAAGTTTAAACAAAAACTGGATGTGATGAAGTGCAGAGGACATTACTTGTGAGTTGTGACTTATGCCAGTAGAAGAAACCAAAGTTCGCGCAATTTGCTAAGAGTGATAATAAACAAATCATGAACTAAAATTCCTTAAGTAAAGTTTAAGTATTGATTACAATATAGCCTGTGGCTTTTTTTGCAGTTATTTTACTTTCAGAATTGGTCCCCCCCTCCTCCCTGAGTTTCTTTCCCAAACCATTATATTATATATATAGACATATATACTTCCCTTAATTTCTCCCAACCTCTTTTTCTTCTCAGTGTACTTTTCCTTTTCATTAGCAAATAATAGGTAGGAGATGTTTGCTTCTTTTGGTGTAGCCAATATTCGGTTCCTCGTTGCAGCCTTTGATACTTCTTGGTGCTGTGAATTTCAAAATAACCAGAACCTTAGAAAGAGTGGCATATACTAGAATAAGGATGATAAATCAAGGTGTAGTGAAGTTTTTTTTTTTGACAATATGCCTTTTGTTTCCTCGTGATCCTTTAGGTGCACTGATGTTCCTTTCTTGGAATTCTTGATATCAGTCTTAACTTCCATGTTATTCTAACCTTTCCATTGTTTAATTATAATGTACATATATTTATAATATAATGAATTATAGCCTGTAATAATAATTTTGGTTATTTGATCTTTTATAGCGATAAAAGCAACATTGCATTGGTATCCTAAAGTGACTGATAGCATACAGAATAAGCTCTTGGCAACTGATGAATAATACTAGATGCAGAAAGTATTTTTTATGTGCAATGAAAGCAAATTTGAGCTTCCTTTAGCTAGGCTCTTAAGAAAATAACAGTGCAAATTGTCAAGGGGAAGTAATACAAGCATTTGATAGAGTATAAAACATATTCCTGGGCCTCAACCATCAGTTTAAGCTTTTGGTTGAGTTGGTCCTCTAACATGGTATCAGAGCCTCAGTTTAAGCTTTTGGTTGAGTTGGTCCTCTAACAGCATTACCATTACACAATTAAAAGAGCAGACAAGTAGTCAAATTCAAGTAATACAAGCATTACCATAAGCAAAGTTTGCATACAGGATACTTTGGGACACTTTTTGGCTGAGAATTCCACTCTACCACTGCAGCTCAGACTCTCGATCGGTGACCTACCATGATTTCCTTAGCTGGCTGATAATCTGAAGGAGGTTGTAATCATATACAACATGCTCCTATCAATCTGCTTGATCACAGAATTCACAGGAATTGACGACAGATTCAGCTGTTTGTGATGACATCTGAATGATCTGATCTAGCCTCTGGGAAACCATTGGTGTTAGTATGTAACTCAATTCCATCAATGACCTAAGTACATGAGCATATGCTCATGTACTTAGGTCATTGATGGAATTGAGGGCCCTTTACTGTGATACTGTAAGCATATGCTCCAGGCCTCTGGTCTGTAGATAGAGTACATGAGCTGGCCAAACCCTGAGCACTTCCTGTGTAATTAGCCTTCACCTCAGTCACGGAACACAACATACTTAAGATGGGCAGGAAATTACATGGCCTTGAATGACATCCCTAGTTATATGATACTGATAAGCGAGATAGCTGGCTTTCAACTGCCAATTATTATCCCTTACAAGAGAGCTCACACAGGCAATGCTAGCAGTTGTAGAGGGTATACCCAACAAGGCAGGATGTTCATGATATGTGCCACATCAGAGAGTGCAAATATCATGAATGCAAATGCGACATAGATATTAGATATATAGTTCCAGATGCCGCCTCTCTACGAAAGCTGCAAGCCAAGATTATGATTATGATTATGATCACACAGGTGAACATACAATGATGCAAATGCCCGAGCACATCTTCTCAAGCAGGTACCTTGCCATCTATAGATAGACCGATTGCATATTTCTTTATATCAGCATTAATTACACATTGAAGTAGGCATGTACAGTTGCAAGCTATACCCCCTTGATTTTTTTTCTTTCCTTTTCTTCCAAAGTACTTAGTTTACTTTGTACATTCAATGCCCATTCCCAATACAAAGTTTACTTCAGATGATGTTTCCAACTGTTTCAGCAACCTGATTTAATTCAGGATATTTCATATTGCTCCTCAGTTCTTGTCCTGAAGTGTCGTTAATCGATGAAACTACCATTGATTGCTTTTTTTTTTTCCACATACAGCTGCAAATTCAAATTCCATGTTAAGTTGCTTGCTAGCTTCTGAACAATATAGGCTCAATCTGATCTTGTTCATCATTGTAAGAAGATCTCCACTGACCTGCAATAGCATTGCATCCTGCAGCCCTCTGGTGCACAATCTGTGGGCATCTACTCAAATTTATGACAAACAGTCATGCGACCCATGTCACTTATACTTTTACTATGACTTTGACTCGTAATTGCAACCTCGGATTTGAAGAACCTTGCATGAAGTAGTGTTTAGACTTCTGATATATGTACTGCATTCTGCAGAGAAGTAGGCATCACAATATTTCTTGGCTTGTGAGTTGAATATTCATCAGAAACAAAACAACTAAGATCTCAGACTGCAGGAAAGTAGGCATCATAGCATCCCTTAACTTGTGAATTGATGATTCATCAGGAACAAATAACTAAGCTTAACTTATAATTCATGTACAGCAGAGATGTGACTAATACTATGTGTGCAATTGGTTAATGGACAAATAAGTTAATCCTTCATGGGGTCAGCCTGTATCTCCATAGCTAGCTCTTTTGCCAACCTTTCAGCGCGCTCATCTTGCCCTCCAGCAAAAGAATACACTTTAAAAGAGAACTGGAAAATCCTCCAAAGAGTATCAGTGTCTACTTTCTTCTGTCGATTTCTTGCTTTTGACAAAGTTTGATCATTTATTTCTGCCTTAGCTTCCCTTTTCTCCTAGAATGGAGGAAAGTGGAAAACAGTCAATTTAAGGGAGTCAAGAAAGGTATATATGTTTTTCAATAATAAAGCTAAATAAATGATTGATTTACATATTTACCTTGAGAGCCAGCTCAATGCAGCTCGATGAGACATTCACCATGGCTTCCTTGATCTTTAAGATAATGTTGAAGTCCAAGTGGATGCCATGGCTCTGAAATTTCTTTTCTTCTTCATCTTTGGTTCGTTCTATGGCTTCCATTTCCCCTTTAATCTACATTAATCTTCTGTTAGTGAAATATTGCATCAAAACAAAACTCCCTTTTCATTGTACCATGTTTTAAACTAACTCCCATTCATATTTCCCATCGACTTTGTCCATTTTCTTTCAGATACATAAAAATCAATTAGGTAAATTATAATGAATAATGCATTGGTTTAAGTTGGATAATCAAATAACAAATGCATTTGTTATGTAACTAATTTATATATATGATCATAACCCTTTTCATTCATTCCCTAGACCACCAAATAATTGATTTTAAGCATGCTAAGTTCTTCGAAATCCTATAAGATGCCGTTGGCTATTGCTTCAATTTCAAAGAGCCATAGACTAAAACAGTGTACACAAAAAGCTGAAATGAATACATAGAACTGATAGAAGCTGTTAGTAAAAGTTCAGTTCAAAAATTTTGTGCTTTGTGTTGTAGTGGTGACAACAACAGTAGCTAAGATTTCAAATACTAGTACAAAGTATATGAAAATGAAACTCTCTTTTTCAGTTACCTTGTTGAAGTATTTCTCAACTTTATCAAGAAGCTGAGCCAGAGGTGACTCGATTTTCCAGTTATGTAGCTCAGATAGAGTTGCACTCAGTTTTTTGTATAGCACTGCTGCCATCCTCAAGGCATCTAATTTCTTCCCCGGGAAGCCTTCAAACCTTGCTAGAACCTGTTATACAAGATTACAAATCAATATCATTTTACAAAAGCAAGAGATACACTAGCATAATTATTGATCAAGATTAAGACCTGGCTTTCATCTGTTAGGATGTCGAGTTTTGATTCTACTTCTTGGTAGAATTTAAGTAGTACATCCATGTCCTTTGTTTTGAATGAGCTAAGAGAAGATTGAATCCCCTTAATTGTCTTATCATGTGTTCTTACATCTTCTTCAATTTGCTGGAAGTATGTTGACCTGAAATAAGCCACAGTTAAACAAATTCTGAAGACACATATTTAAGCTAGCTAAGTACAGTCGTACCTTCTGGCTATTTCTGCTAGTGCATCATTCATGCTTTGTCCACCACTAGATCCGCCATTACTCCCACCACCCGTCTTCCTTCCTCGAGATGATCCCTCACCTAAACAAGATCCTTCCATCAATCCCCTTAGGAGCCGAAACAAGTTCCCCATTTCAGTAGACCTCTTTAAACTTGTTGTGGCTTTCTTCTTGCTTATAAACTTCGGTGGAGGTGGTGGCGGTCCACCTCCTTTTCCAGACAAGGGAGGTGAGGGTTTACCTCCATTGCCAGGCATAAGTGGTAGTAATGGCTCATCATCTTTACCAGGCAAAGTCATAGGCGGTGTAGCACTACGTTCACTAACCATTTTTTTTTTTTTAACCACGCAAGGAACTTCTAATCTTAATGAAACTAAGAGAGGTTGTACTATTTTTTGCAATCTACTACTGAGTGGTGGTGGAGCTACACCCCTTTCCCACCGTATTAGACTATATCGACAGGTTGTCCAGGGTGTAGCTCCACCAAAAGGGGTTGAATATGTGGATGAAGATCGCGGTCTTGTGTTTAGTTTTGGAGTTGGATGGGGAGAAGTAGCTAGTACATCTTGTATATATTGTGATTATGCTTGAATCAGAAGTTGACCAAATTATCATTGATGCTTTCAAAGAAAAAACCAAGTATTATAAACATAAAATGCATACGTTGGTTGGCTGGTAATCAATGTGAAAGGCTATTTTTTTTTCCCAAAAGAATTTGATAACAGTTTATTTCTTTGGATTTAAATTTGGATATAAATTTTAAAAAAAACACATACTGCATACCTGGCCAATCTTCTTCTCTTCCTGAAAGTAACTTACTCTGCACGCTTGAATTAAGTAGTCACGTTACTAGTTCAAATGATGCCGTCAAAATGAATGCTAATTTTGGACAGATTGGACACACAACATATAAAATAAAGCATTTGCATTCAATACATGTTTTCTTAGCTATTAAGGACATGCACCTTACCACGATCATCAAGTCAATAATATTAATAATTTTAGTCCATTATTATCAGTTAATATCATTATCACATCTGCTATTTACACAAAGTATATATAAAGCAATTTAAAACATTAAAATCATAAGCCGCGTTAATCTCCTTGTAGTATTTTTATGTCTAACCCATCATTCTTGTGTTCATATATTTCGGATTTAACTAATCACAAATATATTATGCAAGAAGCCACTTGACAAAATATTCTTCAGATCAGAATTATTATTCTTTAATATATCTTCGAACCATGTTTTTTTATTTCTTAGTACTCTAATATATTTGTTCCATACTCAAATGGCATGTGCTTTAGGACAGTGAAAGCAAAGAGAAATAGTGAGACCATAGTTACCAGTACTTGCCCGTTATCATTCTCAGTGATACTCACTATAGAGTGAAAACCACCATTAACTGCACTAAGAACGAAGCACTGCTTTAAGTGTCAATGATTCTCGAACCACACCAGGAATCACTGTATCAGTACGGTTGTACAACTTCTCCTAGCAAGAATGCATGATACATGTTAGATCAGAACAACCGTCCTTGACAAAATTGCACAAGATGTTCAGGAGATTTAGGAGTCAGGAACTCAAGACAGTAGACTTTCACAATTTCCTGCTGGATTCAATCTGAATCGACATTCTGCATTTGTCATTCTTTTTGAGTAGTTCAGTAATGCTGTTGTATATAGTAGTTAACCCCTATCAGTAGCACTTCTCTGTTTCCTCTGGTACTGTTATACTGCATGCTGCAGGTTATGATGAAAATTAATAGACTAACATCTCACAAGTAATGTCATGTAAGGAGATAGAATACAAAAACTCAGACAAGCATCTCATGTAAGAAGATTCCATATGTTCTTTTTTATACAAACATTGTCCATCCCATATGATTCAACAATGAAAAAACTCTTATTTTTGTGTTTCAGGATGATATATTATCTTAAATAAAAAGAAGTCCTTTAAACTTATACAGGAATATCATGACAAAAGTAAGTCAGCCTTTAGTGTTCGATTTGGCTACCCTCTAGCAGCAAACCTACGCTTGCCTGAGAGACACTTTCAGCATTAATCCATCTGTTTTCAAAGCTACATCACAAGCTAGAAAACCCAATGTCTTCACTATTGTCTACAACATTTTAAGAAACCAATTCAACAATGGACTTGTATAAAGAGGGACTATGAAAGCACTGCAGCTCCATCACAAGCTAGAAACCCAATATCTTCACTATTGTCCCCAGTTTTATCTTTTATGCAGACCTTCCGTCCTATGATCACAGTATTTATTGGAAGGATTAACAACATACAACACTCAATTATATATAAGGTTAGGGAAAATATTCAATAAGTATACTATACTAGATAACAGCAAAGCATTAGATGGTGCCAAGAAGAATTACCAAAATTTGTATAACTTGCACTCTTTCAGCCCACTTTGCAGTTTCCACAAGACACTTTCAATATCCAAAGCAATATTGGACGTGTAGAGGCCAGAAAAGACCTCCAAAGTGAATATTATGTCAGATTCTCTTTCACCAATGGCTTCAGCAAGCTCACATATAATTTCCATATTTCACTGCAAATTTCCTTACTCAAATTAACACATCTTGTGTTTTCCATCAGAAGTGTGAACATTGATCTTATGAAACTCCTTAAACAAACATAAAAATGGACTTTCAACATAAAAAACTACATGTTAGGCCAATATGTTCATCACAGCCCTGATAAACAAATGAATGATCCTCTGATAAATCCCTGTGATGAACAAAAAAAATTCATCGCAGCTAGGAACCAGACAAAAGCTTGCTTCTAGATGCAAAGATTTAACTAGAGAAGGTTGAGTATGTATTATTTGTACATATAGAAGACAACAATTAGAATCAGCGTTGGTAAGAGAAACTTTCCAGAGCAGCTCGAGTTTGATCATCAAACACCCTTGTACCTAGTATATGTGTTGACACAACCATGATGCATACAAAGATTCATAGTATAACTACTGGAAAAAACTTATGTAAGTAGCCTTAATAAAGTCTAACAATCTCCCTGAATCAGAGGTGGAGGAGCATTGGCACTTAACTCAAACGAAATTCCTTGGAAGCCTCTCCATTTTTTCTTTAAAAACTCTCTTTTCTTTCAATTTGTTTGAGTCTTTTTCCATTTTTTTTTAAAATAAGATTTTCGCTAGGAAGGGGAAATAGAAAAGGGGGTGTGGAAATTTAATGAGATCATTATTTTATATGGTCATTTTCTCAGTTTGTCATGATTACTCTAATGTAGTGCTGCAGCCATGAATTGGCTGGAGCATGTTCTTACTAATTCAAAATCTACATGCCTTCCACCAATGCTTAAGATATTTGACCGTGACTTTCTAATAAGGCAGGACATATACAATGCATGATTCAATATGGAATGCATGGAGCTAATTGATCCAAAGAATGGTCTATAGTTTAATGAAGTTTCTTCTAAGGTTCTTTAGTCCCTTTCAAATTATGCATGTAGGTACGGCTATCAGTTCATCTAACTAAAGACTGATTTTGTTTAAACCTGCTTCCTAATTATTAAACTAAAGTGTGCTGAACAGTCAAATCTATCAGGGTCAAGCTATTTGCTTCTCTAATTTTTAATTTGAAATTTTGAAATTTCATTTTTAATCAATATTTTTGTGGTTGACAGAATTTCAAGCCGCAATTTTTTTATTACTAGTTAACTGTATTCAACCCTGATTGTATTACAAGCCATATTGACAAACATCCAATATATTTTCCTTCATGTTTCATTTTCTTAGAAAGTGATTCAAATCATAAAGGGATCTAATGTCACAGAGTTATTAGATTTACTTCTTCGATTATGTATGTCTTTGAAATTGAGGCAAAATATGGACTTATCTGTATGATATTGACAAGAAATGATATTTAGATCATACAATATTCACCATAAGTTGCAAATAATATTTAGAGATTTTCTGATGTAAACCATGGATATATCTCATATATGTGACTAAATTAGGTAGCTATTTCCCTTCAAAATAACTAAACAAAATCAAATAATCAATTAGACTAATTAGGACCCAAAATACATATTAACAAAATTAAAATAATTTGGTCCTACATAAAGGGCAATTTTATATGTACAATGGGTTGTACACTTGCACCTTGTCCATGGTACAACAAAGGTTACGGAGTGTTTTTTTTTTTTTTTATGTGTTTATACCTTGCGACCACATGAGCCAAGAAATAACTTTGGTTGTACTGAATCTATTATACAATGAAGATACTCGTGCAATAAATATTGTCTAATGCATGCAAATCAGAATTTAAATCGACTGAGCTCAATATCTAAAACCTGATATTTATTTTACATCACTATTTTTGATTGGCATGATTGAATTTTTTTTTTTTTACTTTTAATCACTGTATGAAATTGCCATTTGTGATGATTAGATTCTATTTCAACCATAGAGGAAAATAACAGATGAAAAAATTACAGCAATTAACCAAAAAAAATAGTAATTATATAACAGCATTTCTAAAAATAAGAAGCCTTTTTTGATAATTTTAACCTGAAAAATAAACCCAAACAAGGCAACAAAAGGGGCTTTACAGATAGTGTATTGACCTCTGAGCTGTCTACCATGGAAATGTTTAAGGAATTCATATAGCCGTTGCAATGGGGATAATTAGGAGGCCTTATCTAAAATTTCTGTTCTAAAACAGAAAATGAAAAACTAAACAGGTAAATTTCCAGATAATTTCGAAACCGTCGTCTTAGGCACCTTCTTAAAGGAAAACCTTTCTCAGGTTCTCTCTTTTGTGGAGAGCCACCCTCCTCCCCACCCCGACCCCTTTCTTTTCCTTACAATATTCTGAACAAAAATGTCCTGCACGCCTATTTCGAATAAATTACAGTTTTTTGAACGTTGAAACATTCTTTTATTGTTGATCATTTTTCTCCTTTTTATTGCACTATTTTATCATCTTTGGTATTAATTATTCTACCTATACAGGTGTAATGGAACGCGTCATTTGATTTTCATATCAAGATCATCATCAAAAATACCAAAAAAAAAAAATAATTAATTAATGAAGAAAATTGTATAAAATAAAAAGTCATCCTGACCTTACAATGGCTGGAGCCACTTCCTGTATTCCTTCGTTGTTTCGTCGAAGAACGGTCAAATTGCAGGTATATTGGTGGCTTTTCTTCTTAGAACATTTCTACATTCTTGTAGTAAAGTTTTTCAGAATTTTGGAGCATTAGCAAAAAAAAGTTTATCAACCTGCAAATGCAAACAAACCCAGAAAATAATGTATATGAGATAGTTGTATCAATCTTGCATTAAATATCTTCATCATCAGTAATTCATCATGGTAAAGTTCCTAAACCAATAAAATCCTCATCCTTTTCGTCTAGCAAGAACATCATAAACCTCGATTTCAAAAACAAAAACAAAAAAACCACGATCATTTCTAAGCTTACATTCTTTGCTTTCATATTGATATTCACAGCTATATCTGCTAAATTCTGTCATTCATCACCATGTTGTCCAAGAAAATGATCATAAAACCCTCAAATAAACCGAAAATATTACTTAAACCTTCAATTCTTATATGTATTTCTTCTAAGGCTCCAACAAGAATGTATGGGTAAGCCTGAATTCAAAATTATCAATATGGCTGATCAAATAAGATGATTTTTGTTTTGTATTGCAGCCGACTAAGCTATCTAATACGCATGTCAAACAACAGAAAGAGATGGAAATCCCGACTCCCAAGTCAGGCAACAGAGAAAGCAATGGCAACAACATTCTAATGTTCATGGAGCTGAGGAAGAGGATCATGACTTTTAGGGACATCTTTGATATTCCTCCCCTAAATGGCTCTGTTCCAATACATGAGGTACCCCAATACTCTTCTTTTCTTAAGAAAAATGCTTTTTTTAACATTATTGTTTGAAACTTACATCATTGTCTTTTGTTCCTGCAGCTGCTAATTTTGACAGGAGAGGATCTTCATCGAATGTACCCTGAATTTGTACACTGTGTTCCAACAGCAAAACTGAAGGAGAGAAACACACATGAGGTTAGTAAATTTTCCGTTTAATCTCCTTATAGCCAATTTGGTAAAAAAGTATTGAAGGATGGTAAAGGTAAAGATATGTGTGTAGTTCTGCACAGAAAATCTTCATTTCAATCTTTAGTAATGCAACTCTATCTCAAACATGTGTTTTTCATGACAAGTTTGTATTACCAGTTATTAGCTTTTCTAAAGCAAAATTGACAGTTAAAGAAATTCTATCAACAAAAGCAGACTAAGAAATGAGGTAGCAATTAGCATATGCATAACCCTTGCCATAAAGATTTGTAAAATTCATAACTAAACTAAACACGAATTCATTATAATTGCCATTAATACTAATGCCAACTGAGTGGACCGTATATATCCAAGAGGATTAGCGAACTAATTAAAACATATATCTCATTGTGATTTATCAGGGATTGATCAGCTTTTATGAAGTCCTAAAGTGTGTGGGAGATTCAGCATGGATAGAAGATCCTAGGGTGAGGGACAAGTTCAAGTATAGCAATGTTGAAAAAATCCCCTTGGAGGAACTCGGTAGGTTTATATTCTTTCAAGTATCCTTAATTACAACAGAATTCTGCTTGCTAAGATAGGATGATCTTTGTCTTGCAGCTAAGATAGTGGTGACTATATTGGACTGCATTAACAGGACAGCGAAAGAGAGGTTTGATGTAATGGAAGAGGATGAACCAAAGGACTATAGCTCAAGCTCAAGTCCAAGCCGAAGCTTAAGCTCAAGGTCCATCTCTTTTGACAGGAGATCATTTGATCTAGGTCCATCAACTTGTGCTTCACCTCATACCCCAACTTCCGTCCTACCTGAGTCCCCAAGATATGGAGAGTATGGTAGTTATTCTCCTCCTCGTCTTTGGGATCTCAGGGTTCAAGCAGTAGAGAAATTGAGTGCAATGGATTGGAAGCGCCTCTCTTTCCATATGATCCTTCAGAATAATATGCAGAACCAGAAGAACAGCAAAGGGCCAACTATCATTCCAATGGAAGATGGGAAAAAAGGAAATAGTGAGGTAAAGACTGAGGCGGATACAGAACAAGGGCCAGTTCCCATGATCATAGACATGGAAAGTAATGAGGCACTTCAACCACCATCCTCAAAATCCAAGTTGGAGTCCAGTGGTCAAGAGAACCTAAAACAATCACTAAAACCAAATTTACAAGTTCAACTTCCATCAGAAGAAGTAATTACACCACCACCATCTACCCCATCGTCACCAACTGTCATGTCATCATTTCCACCGGTCAAGCAGTTGCACTCACCCCCACCACAACCTCCACCACCACCACCACAATTAACTGCACCCCCTCCACCACCTAATAATGCAATAACTCCTCCCCCACCCCCACCCCCACCGTTAAATTTAAGGACTCCACCACCACCGCCTCCTCCATCCATTTCCAGTGCTCCATCACTTCCTTACAACTCAAGGCCTCCTCCTCCTCCGCCCCCATCTAGTGCAACACTTCCATCTATGGCTGCGGTTCCATCACCTCCGCCACCACCTCCACCCCCTTGTTCAAAGGCCCCTCCTCCCCCTCCTCCTCCACCACATAGTGTAGGAGCTCCACCTCCACCCCCTAGTTCAAGAGCCCCTCCTCCTCCACCACCTCCTAGTGTGGGAGTTCCACAACCACCTCCACCCCCTGGTTCAAGGGCCCCTCCACCTCCACCGCCTCCTGGAGCAAGAGCTCCACCACCACCTCCATCCCCTGGTTCTAGGGGCCCTCCTCCTCCACCACCTCCTGGTGGGGCTGCACCACCTCCACCACCACCTCCATTTGGCTCGAAGGGTGGCCCACAAGCACCACCACCACCTATGCCTGGTAAAGGAGGTGGACCACCACCTCCTCCTCCGGGTGCTAGGTCCCTTCGTGCAAAGAGCACCACAAAATTGAAAAGGTCATCTCACATGGGAAACTTATACCGTTTGCTCAAGGGAAAGGTGGAAGGATCATCTTTAACAGGAAAATCTTCTCAAGGGAAAAAAGGAGGAGGGAGTAATGGTAGTTCTGGTGGAGGACAGAGCATGGCCGATGCACTTGCAGAGATGACTAAAAGGTAGCTGAAATATGACTGCTTTTCACATTCTATTTTTGGACTGTGTAGCATAGAAGAACACTACTTAACTACTGCCATACTGAACTTTCAGGTCAGCATACTTCATGCAAATTGAGGAAGATGTTGAAAAGTATGGAAAAACAATTAAGGAGATGCAAGGTACTCTGAGCTCATTCCAGACAAAGGACATGAATGAACTGCTTAAATTCTATCAGAAAGTAGAATCCACACTTGAAGTCCTCACAGATGAGAGCCAGGTTTTTGCAAGGTTTGAAGGTTTCCCGGTCAAAAAACTAGAAGCCTTGAGGATGGCAGCAGCATTGTATAAAAAACTTGATGGAATATTATCTGAATTACAAAACTGGAAAATGGAGTCTCCTTCGGCCCAGCTTCTTGACAAAGTCGAGAAATACTTCAACAAGGTAAATCAACCTTAGAAGCAATATCAAGGATAAGATTTTAGTTTGGTTATCATGTTAAGTATAGCAACAATCAGTACAACCTCAACATAACAAACTTTATTTTCACACAGATTAAAGGAGAACTGGAAGGTTTGGAACGAACCAAAGATGAAGAAGCAAAGAAGTTTCAAAGCCACAACATTCATTTTGACTTTCAAATTCTCGTCAAGATTAAGGAAGCAATGGTGGACGTCTCATCAAGCTGCATGGAATTGGCACTAAAGGTAGTTAAGCCAAACCAACCAAATTACATATTTTAAGTTTTACATATATTCTCTTTTGTCCAAGTAAAACAAAACTTGTGCTAATCCAACTCGGGTGCTCATGTCAAACACAAGTACATGTCCATGTGTTGAGCTCAGCTATGCATTAAATCCAAAAAGAAGTGAAGGTTTTATATACAGTTCATACCAATGTTGGACAATCAAGAATCATATCTGACACTGTGACACATACACATACTTATAATGAAATGAAGGTTGCAGGATTTAGTAACAGAAAACAGAACTAATACAAGTCAATTTATTTTTTTAAAATTTGGAATTATAGGAGAGAAGAGATGCAAAGGCAGCATCAAATGATCAAGCTTGGTCCAAAGCAGGAGGGCAGAAAAATGTATGCGCCAAGATGCTCTGGAGGGCTTTCCAGTTTGCCTTTAAAGTCTATTCTTTTGCAGGAGGACAAGATGAGCGCGCAGACAGCCTAACAAGGGAGTTAGCTCAAGAAATAGAGACCGATCCCATGGAAGATTAAGTGATCAACTCCTTTACTAAAATTATAATATTAACCTATTTATAGTAAATACATTAGAATTTTTTCTTAAGTCTTTATTTTTATTCTTTTCTGTTCAAGCATTTCTTATTGAGCATACAAGGGTCATTCTGATGATGCCCCAGTTTCCTTGAACGGCAAATTCGTAGATGTTAGATTCCACCAAGAGCGTACATCACTGATGAGACTTGAGGAAGAATTTTCTGCAGCATAGCTAGCTAATCTCTGGCTATCTATATGCTGCTTTATGTAATATATGATCCGTACATATGTTTGCACGGCCACCATTTATTTATTTCTTTCTAAGACTTCTACAGTTCTACATAATATAACATTTTTTGTTTTGTATGTAACTTCAGGATGCATCTCTTTGAGTGACATTATTCTAGTCAAATTCCATTTTCACCATAACATCCTTTGGTTTTTTTCTAGTCTTATTTGTTGTGCACAACTGACAAATGTGTTAGGGTATAATGAGGAGATTTGGAGGGAATGGGTGAAAGTGCCAAAGAAAGACACTCTATTCATGAAGGTTTTACCCCTACATGAAGGTCTAACCACGAGAGCGACAAGTGACTTGTGTGATACAATGTCTCATTACTTCATTAGTCATTACTAATGAACTTAATGCATAATTCCTAGTGTTTTAAAATCATTTATTCATTTTGCTATTGAATCAAATGTTATAAGTGTAGGCTAAACCTGTCAATTTGGGTCAACGGGTTGGGTTCGGGTCGAGTTTCGGGTTGTTTGGGTCATTTGGTTCAAGTGGTTTGGATTTCTTGTATCATTACAAATTATGATAAATGGGTCAAAACGGGTCAATTTTGGGTCATTTGGGTCGGGCTTGGATTTTCTCTCAATAAAACGGGTTTGAAATCGGGTCAGGAATTAACAGGTCTAAGCGTTAGAGTGTCTTGCACGAGATTTAATCTTACATGCTTGAAGATCACACTTTCTCATAATAGAGCATCACCTGAAAACCCATAGATCATGGAAAAAATAGGATGGATAGGACCAGCTACCACACTACCCTTCCTTATTGTACGTCTAATTCTTATCATACATAGACTCCCAGAGTCCTAGTAAGGGAATTCAGTTTCGTTTGGAAAGATTACTGCAAATGGTGTTTGGGCTATCTAATTTTGGGTTATGAACTAATGACAATAGGTACAAATACTTGCAACTCTAATTCTAATATTTCTAAAACAACGAAAGTTGAAAAGATAGACTTGCAAAACGATATCTCATGTACTCACTCAGTCTCGTACTAGTATAAAGCTGCCTAATTTCTGTTTAATTTTACTTTTTCCATAATGTCCTATTGATTCTCTCTTGTGATCTTGTCCCACTTATAATTAAATGAATTTTAAAAATTGCACCACATTACTTGGTACATTGGGTCATTTGGGTGTAAAGGATCACTGGTTAATTCAATATTATGAAGTTATCTACTATATATGTTAAAGTTGTTCTTAATTTACCCCATTAAAATTACAAATAACATACTCGTATTATTTTATACTAGTTGTATATATGTTAATTTGTTAAAGTTGTTCTCTTTATCAGTGATCATCGTTTTAAATTCGGTTTTTCAAAAGAAAATCAAACCACATTGAATTTCTTTTTGCTCCATCTAATTGGTCATTCACTCCAACATCGCCCACATTGGTTGACATTCTTGGGAACAAAAAACACAAGTTTTATTATTTTTTGGCAAGGGTAGGAATTAGTATTGGGCTAAGTTATAATTTAAATATGGGCCATAATTCTATTTGGATTTCGATTTTTGGTTTTTCAAATCTTAAAACTGAAACCAAACTATATTAATTCGGTTTTGGATTCCTCAAACCGCACCGAATCATATTCTAAAAAAAGCATGGTTTGGTTCGGTTTTAAACCACATTAGTTTCACCCCTAAGTCAACAATTGACTCGTGATTTTTGCATGATGATTGCTTTAAACGATGATTCGTGTATGTTAAAGTTGTTCTCTTTATCAGTAATTTACCCTTATTGGACTTTACAAAGTACAAACTTTTCGATGGAAACGGTTTTCCTCGAACAATTCCCCGATAGTAGCTAATCTACATTGAATAATTTCGAAGATTTAAGTAGTTATAATTTAACTAAAAACTGGTAGAGACAATTTATCGAACAGTTGGTGAGCATGAATATTGATTATTCAAAGAATAAGTAAGCAATTAACAACTTACAAGTTAGGCGATAATCTCCTTTTAAGATAGCCTAGGTTAGTGATTTTCCCAAGTTTCTCCCTTTAAAGAGCAGTCATTTCCTGGCCATTCAACGCCGATGATTGCTTGAGAGTGGAATGAAGTCTACTGGTAATAATATGTTGCTCCATATAATCTTGATGGATATGTTGAGATGAATACATATAGGATTATTATAAGCCCAATTGATACGACGAGATGAACATATAGGCCCAAACAGCTTGTCACGAACCCGAATCTTATAAACCTAACTGATTTATGTTCCGCGTATGATAAGTCACAACTTTAAATTTTCTAAGTGCGGTTTGTAATGTTGTTTTGATTGGACTTTTTTTTTTTAAAGGTAAGGAAAAAGAACCCTATCAGGTTAGAATCTCTCACAGATCCATCTGCTTGGGTTTGCAGGTTAACCCCTTTGTGAGTGGAGAGAGGGGGAATGCGTAAGGGAAATTTCACCCTAGTGTCTCTAGCTAGCGGAGTTTGATATGTGATGCAAAACTTATCACTAAATTGAAGCCAATGTTTTTATTATTGGATTTAAGGGAGACAACTTAAGAAATTATACAAGACAAACTGGGTATTAAATGCGATGGTCCAAGTAATTTGAATACAAACATTGAATAATAGGGATAATAGTCTATTGGGTTGATTATATTGACCCCCAATCCCACATAACCTTTGAAATTTTCTTGATGGAGATGTATGCACCATGCTTGGTGCATACAAATGCGGAATGAATATGTACTACATACGTAGTTGTTTTATATATCTAAAAAACATTCGTAATATTAATAAAGAGCATGATAGTATAATGTAATGGACATTATTTTTATTCAACCACCATAATTTAAAGACAAAATTCAAAAAAATTTAAAAATAAACAATGAACATTATGTCACAAATAAAAGTACATTATACTGATAATAAAAAAACATGGTGATAAAGAACATTATTTAATTTAACAGTTTATTCTTAAAAGAACACTCTAGGTATATGTTCATTACATTTTAATAATATGTTATTTTCATTCTAAATATACGTTCATTACATTACATTTAAAAGTATATTCATTACACTTTTATAATATCTTTATTCCGCTTTTTTTTTATAGTGAAATGTATGTGTATAGGCCTTTATGAACCAGGGATTACATAACCTTGTGCTAGACCCATTTTCTCAATTTTGATTTCCATTTGGTACAATTTGTATGGTTTCTCTCCAATTTTCCATCATTTACTTACTTTGTAGGTTCTATTATAGTGGATCGCTAAACATCGCTCGCAAATCTCCACATAAAGCCCACAAATCTATATTGAATTTACCTTATTGCCCTAAACCTAAAATAAAAAAATCTAACTCATACCCACACTCTAATCACCCGAAAATACGGCAATGTTGAGGCGGCAAGGCAAGGACTTGGCGGCCACAGCGGCGGAGGGAAGGACGGCTCACGGTGGCAGGGTTTTTTTTAAAAAAAATTTTTAAAAAAAAAACCAGAAGAGGTGGGGCGCCTGGCCAGGACGCCCAGCCCCTGGTGGTGGCGTCTGCTCCGGCCGCCGGAACCAGGGGGCTGGCGTCTGACCTGGACGCCTAGCCACGGTTGTGGCGTTTTCCAGAGGCGCCACCGCCGTGGCTGGGCGTCCAGGTCAGACGCCAGCCCCCTGGTCCCGGCGGCCGGAGCAGACGCCACCACCAGGGGCTGGGCGTCCTGGCCAGGCGCCCTACCACTTTTTTTTTTTTTTTTTTTTTTGTCTAATATTTTTTTTTTGGAAAATCAGAATTCTTTTGTTAATGTTTAATATTTTTGTTTTATGTGTTAATGTTTTTATTTTTAATGTATATATATTTTTTTAAATCAGAATTTTTTGTGTTAATGTTTAATTAAAAAAAACAAAAACTTTAAATAAAATTTTTAAAAAATTACAAAAATTTTAAATAAAATTACAAAAAAAAAAAAAATAACAAATTACAAAAAAAAAAAAAAAAAAATTACAAAAAGTAGGGGTGGCGTCTGGCCAGGACGCCACAGCCATGGTGGCGGCGTCTGGCCAGAACGCCACAGCCATGGTGGCGGCGTCTGGCCAGGACGCCACAGCCATGGTGGCGGCGTCCTGACCATACGCCACCCCTACTTTTCGTAATTTTTCCCCCGGATTATCTCGCTTTCCGGCGACGATGACGGCTCTTCGGTGTCCCTCGGCGATCCACTCCAGCTCCACATTCTTCGTGAGAGTGAATTACGGTTTCGGTAAAAATTAGAAAAAGGGCAAAAGAGTCAAAGTAAAAATATTTGTGGGCTTTATGTGGAGATTTGCGGGCGACGTTTAACAAACCTATTATAACGTGTACCCAAAACATGTGTAGTGCCTATTAATCTTTTGGACTATTGTCATGGTGGACTAGTAAATTAATAATATCCACAACCCATGCATATACTTTTTTTTTTTTTTAAGGGGAATGCATATACTTGTTCATTAGTTTAAGGAAATTTTGTCAGATAACACCTTTTAATTGTGATTTGTTGTGAGAAAACACCTTATAAATTTTTTTTGTGAAAACACACCTAATACCAAAAATTATTTGTAAAATAACACCTAAGGGTGGTTTCAGACATGTTGACTTGGTTTCACAGCGTAGACCACCACGTGTGAGTCACCTGCGCCGATTTACCCCCCTCCCTTCTAATTTTTTACTCTTTCTTTCCCTCCAACTCTATTTTCTCTCTCCTCTCAATTTCTTTCTCTCTCCTCTCAATTGCTTCTCTCTGTGTTGCTGCTCACATCACCATTAAAAGCTTCTGGAAGTTGCTAGGCCATGGTAGTGACAAATTGACTGCTTCAATTCGTGGTTTAAATTTGGCTAAGGAATTGGGTAAGTGTAAAAATTTATCTCTCCTCTCATTTGTTACTCAATTTATGTTTGAGTATTTGCCTAAATTTCTCTGTCCTTTTCTTTGTGTCTGTCATGGGTAAACAAGGGAAGCCTCGACATTACTACTACCTCCATCCTATAGAACATTGCTAAGATTAATTGACCCCCAAATAAAAAACCCTAATTTCAATTTAAAACCCTAACTTACGATGATTCGCAAAATCAACAAAATTAATGGAATAAGTCTTTCATTAATGCTACTTACATAGCTGCCTCGTAATTATGCCAATTGAGTATATTTGCAGAAATTGGAGCTCAAATTTGGAGTTCATCTTCTTCAAAGGGGAACAATGGAGTTTGGGTGGAAGAGCAGGGGGTTAATTGGGGAAGAAATTGAGAGGAGAGAGAAAATAAAGTTAGAGGGAAAGAAAGGGTAAAAAATTAGAAGGGAGGGGGGTAAGTTGGTGCACGTGACTCCCACGTGGTAGTCAACACCGTAAAACCAAGTCAACATGTCGGAAACCGCCTTAAGGTGTTATTTCACAAATAATTTCTGGTATTAGGTGTGTTTTCACAAAAAATATTTTATAAGGTGTTTTCTCACAACAAAACACACTTAAAAGGTGTTATTTGACAAAATTTCCTTAGTTTAATTATGTACTACTTACTACATATTACGGAGATTTTTTTTTTTTTTTTGTATATATAATGTAAAGATCTATTTATAAATTAGGACAAGGATTTATGTAATCCATATAGCTAGTAAGGTATTTGTAGTTTTGTACTACATTGTAAACTTACCCTCAGGTTTACGTAAAATGGAATTAGCTAGGAACGTACTTTATGTTAATTATATATGCGCATGTTCATCATTGAGGTCATTAGTGTAGAATAATCATGCAAAAAAAATAAAAAAATAATAAAAATAAAAATAAAAAAAAAAAAAATTCAAGGTCATCAAACAATTTAATTTATCTAACAGAAAGTAATACAAGTTTCATACATATAATAATCTGAAACTTGGATGTTAGATAAGATGGCCCAGATCATCAACCTACTACGTAATTTAATTTAATTAGTATTCTACATGGACTACATAACGTAATCAAATCCCTAACACTATTTAATTGTCACACTTGGAATACCAAATCCATGCTGATCAAAGGCTTGGTAGTTATATATGCTCAAATTATTCTACACTCTACTTTTCAATGGCAATGCAAGTTGACATTTTGATTGATTAATCAAATCGCACTCAATCAATTAGCGGTTTGATTTACCTATTTTATCTGATCTGAAATAAAATGAAAACTTATATTTTGTCTTAACTCGTCCAAACTTATAGCATGCACTTGTTAAGAATTTTAAGTTAAGTTGAATCATACCGAGCATAATCAATTGTAATTAAGGATCTATAGAAATACCAACACATTTCATGAAGAGGTTAATTAGGCATCATATAGTCAAAGCAAATCACCGTCCTACGGATTGATGTTTCAAATCTAATTAACATATTCTCTTCATATATGGTGTGTGATTTTGTGCCATATTGGTTTCAACAATAATTTGTCATTTTGGTAATAATTTATACAATTAAAAGATGATACCTAAATTTTATACAATATAAACAAGATTATAATCAACCTAAAGATGTCTGTCTATCTAGTCCAAGTTTATGCATAGACTAATATATAATTTATTAATACTTACCTTCAATATATTAATATTATTTATGTATTATTGTCACGTACTCTTGAGTCTTGACACTATTTAATTTGTAATAATACATACATATATAATTATGGTTAATTATGTTTTCTGCCATTGTCGCGCTGGTACATAAACCTTGTAGGCATGTGTTGAATTGGCACAAGCTTCTTGTTCTCGATTGCACAGATTATATAACGATTTCCTTCTCAATTTTTTTTTTTTTTTTTTTTTTTTTTTGACAAGTCCTTCTCAAATTCACTCATATCAGAATATACTTATATATTATAGGGGATAACATTAACTAAATAACCCGACGTAGAAATCATATCTAGATAATACAAAGTATGTATATATATAACAATAACAATCAATTAATTAAGGTAAAACATCTATGATATGCATGAACCAAGGCTTGAAAACATCATTTTACTCATTTTATAGTTCTGTTTTTGCAGGCACTTGAACATGTTAATGTTCAAAGAATTATTATTATTATTATTATTACTTTTTTTTTTTTGACGCTACTACCATAAATCTGATCTGTATGAGGAGATCGACAAGGTCTATTTTTTTTTAATAATAATAATAATGAAAAAAATTATTAGATTAGTTGTGATAAGTTTTGATTAAATGATATTAATTTATACTCTATTTTTGTATTACACGTTAGCTTGAACGAGTATGTTCTATGAGATGCGTATAGTAGGAGTTGGTAAACATAAATTATTCAAAGTTAGTAAGTAGATTAATGCTTCAAACAGATATACTCTTCATGTGGCGTATCATAATTGTTTTGTTTTAATTAGCAAAAGCGCAAATAATTAAAACTCGTAATAATATAATTCGTGCAAAGTATTATTTTTGGACCGAGAGAGGTGCAGTAACATATTCTATTATTTTCTAATTGTAACTATTTTTAACCATTTATTATCAAACCTATATTTATATGAAATGAAAATGTTTGCGAAATTCTACATGGTGACCTTATGCCCTGTGATTCACGTTGAAGACCGTGTTATATAACCCCTATGCATGAAGATTTTAAGATGTACTCGTATGAATTTTTTTTTTTTTTTTTTTTGTTTACTCCGTATTAGTTTGTAAAATCAAACTAGTAAAGGCATAGAGCTATTTGTAATTTCCACAACACTAAAACTTGTAATACTACTGTTTAATTTATTGTGAGCTTGTATATGTCCAATAAAAGAATATTTTTAAAAAATGGGGAAATACAAGTTAATCTGCCAGATAACGAATTTTTATTAATCTGATGACATTTTTGTAAATATATTGAAAAAGCAGGATCATTTATTCAGTACTTTTGATGAGTTGTCCAATTACTGTTTGTTTTTTGCTTTTAATGTTTGGTGAGGAAATTACACATGTACCCCTCAACTAGTACATGAAAAGACGCATATACCCCTTTATTGGGTATTGCTCAAAAAATAGAAGTATATGAAAAATATCATTTCAATGTTTCTACATATTACTCTAGTTTTTTATTCTACACCTAATGTTATGCCATGAATCATGTGATACATAGTTTGAATATCTATATATACTTGCTTATTAAATAGATTTTCTTAGTCGTGACTCGTGACACAGTTCATACATGATTACAAGAAAACCATACATAATTATTTAATTATAATTTAAATCAAATATATACTCGTAATATATTTTCTAAATAATCTGATCCCAAATTGATGAGGAGGTTGTTCATTAACTAGTCTCTACCACGTATTCATTCTAGAAGACTTCTAGCTACTATATCTAAGTTTAGGAACACAAACCAGCTCTTGAGTTTTGGTGAAAGATATTTTTTTTCTTTTTTTTTTTTGAAGCATATTAATTTATTTATGAAAAGTCATATGACATGTAAAATAGATATCTAAATTAATATATACATAAAATTAAATCAAATAAGATTTCCTTCATCAAAATTATTATCGTTGAATAAATCTTACACTGTATCACATTTTTCGCACATTTCGCTGAAATACAATTAAAGATTATTAACTTATTACGTAGTAATTTTTAAAGGAGATTAATTAAGCACAATATACTCCATCCCCTATCTTTAAGTTCTTCCTTCTTTTAGAATATTTGTTATATACTCTTAAAACTTCCCTTACTTATTTTATCAACAAGTCCTATATGAATGCGATGTGAATTTTAAATTTTACCAAAAAAAAACTTGTACGACAAGCTAAATCTATAATTATATTAAAAAAAATTAAGTAAAAAGTACTCTCTTCATATTTTATTACTTGCATTTCTCCTGAAATGTATGTCTCTTTGAACTGTATTATATTTAATTATCATGAAGTGTAAATTACTACCTCCATTTCTTTATATAGCAACGATTTGACATAAAATGTGAGTAGAAAATGTCTAATCGATGCAAATGAAAAGAAATGAAGGTAGTATAACAGTTGAAAGTTAATAATCTATTCATTAAGACGATTATTACAAGTGCCCGCAAGACAATATTTTTTTTCTTATGTATGTATAAATCACAAAAATCAATGAAAGTTGATTAAATAAATAGTGCAAATGGAGAAGCTAAGTAATAAAATATGAATGTAGTAATAACATTTTAGGTTTTATAGATGGACTATGTACAAAGTTCAGCCTCCTGTTAAGTACAAATACAAAGAGAGTACATTTAGTTTATCACTACGTATTATTATTACCGGAATATTATTATTTTTTTGAAAGAAGTCATAAATGACACTAAAATTTCATTAATTAAAGTCATACAACATTTACAATTGACAATTAATGATAATGAAAACGAATTTAACAAAATCAAATAAGAATTAACCGGGAAAGAACTAAGGACAATTTTAGAATCTTTAGAAACTCGATAATTGCTAAATTACATATTAGCGTCTTTGATGCCATTTTCATTGCATCATGTGTGATACATGTCTTTCTAGTTTTGGGAGTTCTAAAATTTTACTAGGACAAATTAAGAAGTACACGTATTAGCTACGAGTATCAATTAAACTAATTGCCGACACCTCGGCTTCAGGGTTAGTAGTTAGTACCTTAGTGGGTTAGTTAGGGTGAGCTATCTTTAATTTCCTTAATTTTAAATAAGTCTTTAATTATTTATCAATTTTAGGTTTATAACTACTTTCTCCATTACATATTACTTGCAACAAAAGAATTTTTTATATCTCACAAATAATATTCCTTTGTTGCGAGTAATATGAAACGGAGGGAGTATTAAAAAGGAGACAAACTTATAGATTTACAAGATGGAACAGTTAACGCACGTCAGAGCTTGTCATGTACGATTAAACGGAAGCTAAAAATCTATACACTGGTGTATATATATATCCTAAACTTATGAAGAATTGCGGTGACATGTATTCTACTAGGCTATCAATTTAAATCACCATTTAATTTCTCAGTCACATTAATTAGAGTTATGTTTTTTTTTTTGAGGAAAAATTACAGTTATGTATGTATTTCCATTATCTTAACATTAGACATTTGTACCTTAGCTTCTTCTTTTTTTTTTTAAACAACATTTGTACCTTAGCTTAATTTGACTTAATTGACATTTTTAAACTTATCACAAATTAATGAATTAATACAGTACTATATTACGTCTGCAAGACTGCAACACAGTATAATAGAAAAATTATCATGGGTAGAAGTTATTGCTTGCATTTTCTCAAGGTATGGAATTGTTTTCCCCATAAATCCTGTACAAGTTTATTGTATATTCTTGTTAATGCTTCACATGGTGTGTCATTTAGTTTTGAGCTTCTATTCTTAATTTATGTTAATATTCTAACAAAGATTCCCATTTTAATATCTTGTCTTAATTTTAAATATTGACTAATGAACCACCCCATTGTATTATAAAGATCAACGAAGTTTTCAAGTTTAATATTCTTATCTTACTATCATTACAAGCAATGTCCTCTCTATATTCTCCTCCCACCACCACTACCACCATCTCCGGTGCCGCCGAGTTTAAACACCACCATGTATTCCCCAAAACATCCCAACTATCCATTTCAAGAAGCCTTGGTCGTCGTCCTATACCGAAAATCTCATGCAAAGTAGCTAAAGATGGTGACCAAAACCCTAAAACAACCAATAATGAAGGGGGTGCCAATATGTTTAATAGAAGAAATATGCTCATTGGGCTAGGAGGTTTGTATGGTGCCGCCACCACTTTAGGTGGCGCGCCATCCACTCTAGCTGCCCCCGTGCAAACACCAAATCCTAATGCTTGTGGCCCGGCGGATTTGCCCTCTAATGCTCAAGGCCTAAATTGTTGTCCACCTAGAACCACAAGCATAGTGGACTTTGTTCTTCCAACCCCTCCTACCACCTTAAGGGTTCGACAACCGGCCCATTTGGTGGACGACGAATTTAGAGAGAAATTTACTAGGGCTATGTCCTTAATGAAAGCCCTCCCTTCTACCGACCCACGTAGTTTTACCCAACAAGCTAATGTGCATTGTGCTTATTGTAATGGAGGTTACTCTCAAGTAGGGTTTCCAAATATGGACCTCCAAGTCCATAATTCTTGGCTATTTTACCCATTTCATAGGTGGTATCTCTACTTTTATGAGAGAATACTAGGCAATTTGATCGATGACCCGACTTTTGCCATACCCTTTTGGAATTGGGACACACAAGCGGGCATGACAATGCCCGCGATGTACACAGATCAAAACTCTCCCCTATTTGATCCAATCCGAGACCGGGGTCACCAACCCCCTAAAGTGTTGGATCTCAACTATGATGGTATAGATTCCAATGATTTACCTGATCAATCCATGATTGCAAACAATCTCACGGTATTGAATCGCCAAATGGTGAATAACTCTACTACCGCGAGGTTGTTCCTAGGTGCACCTTACCGGGCTGGGAGTTTTCCCAACCCGGGGGGTGGATCTGTAGAGAACATACCTCACGGGACCGTCCATGTTTGGACTGGTGACCGTAATCGACCCAATTTGGAAAACATGGGTAACTTCTACTCGGCCGCACGTGACCCCCTATTTTATGCTCACCATGCCAATATGGACCGTATGTGGTCCGTTTGGAAAACCTTAGGAGGTAACAGACGTGATTATACCGATTCAGATTGGTTAAACGCGGCGTTTATATTTTATAATGAAAATGCACAAGCTGTTAGGGTAAGAGTTAGAGATTGCGTAGACTCTACGAAACTTGGGTATAATTACCAAGAAGTTGACTTGCCTTGGATCAATGCTCAACCTACCGCAAGCTCATCATCTAGGGTAAGAAGTGTAACTTCATCAACCCCTCCAACAGCTAATGCCATGGAATCGACATCGAAATCAAATAAAGTCGTTAAGTTCCCTAAGCCATTAAACAAGTCGTTACGTACAAACGTTACAAGGCCAAAAAAGTCTAGGAGTAAAAGAGACAAAGACCGCGATGAGGAAGTGCTTGTGATAGAGGTTGATGTCAAGAAACACGACGAGTATGTGAAGTTTGACGTGTACATCAACGATGAGGATGATATACCGTCTAAGAAGATGCAAGTGAAGGCCGAATATGCCGGGAGTTTTGTGAATGTACCTCATAGACACACACATGGTAATAATAGGGGAAACCATGACTTGGAGACAACTTTTAGGGTTGGTTTGACTCAATTAATTGTTCAATTAGGAGCTGATGATGATGAAGGTGTCACGGTTAATTTGGTGCTTAGGGCAGGAAGTAAGGGTAATGTTGTTATCAAGAGTATGAAGATTGAGATTGCTTAATTGATTGCTCGTATGTAATACTGTTTTGTATGGGGTGTTTTTTTTTTTTCTTGTGTGATTGTTTTTGTACTTCAAAATTTTGAAATAAGATGTTGGATGCTTATCGATTGTGATGAATTATTTATATTTTACATTGTAAATGTCAATTTTAACTTAATGTAATTTAATATATGTGCGCTTTAAATTTCAAAAACGTACGAATAAATATATATTCCCTCCGTCCCTAAATTACATTCCTCTTTCTAGCATTTATTCCTCACATAATAGAGAGAAAGAGGAATGTAATTTAGGGAATGGAGGGAGTAGTAATATTTCAGGTATTCCGTAATCTGATTTCAATAAGTTGAATTTGCTATTTTTGATAGACTTGAAGGCTATTAGGACAATATTTTAATAGATTTTGATTCTTATTGATTGTATGGTTATGTGGCTTTACCTAAAATCTCGAAGTTTATTCATTTTTATATACAAAAATGCTAAATATAGTTAGAGTATATGCCATCTTCTATAATCTTCATGTGCGTGCAAACTTATCTGTTTGGTTAGAATAGTAATAGAATAAACTACGGAATAGTACACATTAAAGTATACTATTAATTGCTGTACGTTGCACGTAACAAGTTTACTCAAATTTGAAAGGTTTGAGGTTTTCTTGTGACGAACTATCTTGACTATATTCCGATTTGATTTAGTGGGTTGGAACCCGTAGGAGTGTGGGAAAAGGTTAAGCAATATTATACACTCAAGGAATCACCTTGTGATATTTGATCCCAGCGTGTGTGTAAATTAAATATTTCCACTGGATCAAGCTTTGTTAGGTATGCAAGTACGTAATGATAATGTGTTAGTTATATTTTGTATGTAGCAAGTTGTAAGCATTATAAGGTAAGTATGAGTATTAATTTGTGTAAATAATTTAGTAAGTAGTTGTAGTTAATAAGTAGCAATTTAATAAGTTTGTACTTAGTTAGGCATTGTTTACTTTTATGTAATTTAATATGGAGTAATTTGTAGTTATATTAGTTAGAATCCTTATAAGATTACAATTCTAATTGATTCTATTTATGTTTGGAATTGATTGAGTGAGTTATTGTGAACAACCGTGTGGTTGTATGAAAAATCTGGGCATTTGAGGTGAAACGCCTAGTTTTTTAGAATACCCTAGGCTGAAACGTCTAGTTTTTTGGCGTTTCAGCCTAGGATATTCTAAAAAAACTAGGCGTTTCAGCCAAGGGTATTCTAAAAAACTAGGTGTTTCCTGGGTTTTGAATCTTTTTAAAAAAATTATCGCGACGTACCGATTTCATACGGTTTGACGAGCCTTCTACAAGCGTCTAAAGTTGTGTTTCTTGTATTTCGTCGTTGTCTATAAGATCTAACGAAATTGATTTTGCAAAATTTAAAAAATTTGCTTGATTTTGAAACTCACGGTGGTTTGGGTGGTTGTTCGATGAGCGTTGGTGGCCGTTGACCACTAGAGAGAATGGTAAAAAAAAATTGTGTATAGTAAAAGTGTGAAATTGAGGTGAAATTAATTATTTTTTATAATCATTATTATAAGGATAAATACGTAATTTTATTTTATTTTGCGGGCGTTACTTAGATATTTGAGGGCGATATTTAACAACCCCCATTTTTTATTCCTGAAAAACTAACGTAGGTGGGTGATGAAACAAATATTATATATATATATATATATATATATATATATATATATATATATATATATATATATATATATATATATATATATATATATACTCCACAGTCCACACATGAAATTTAGGCCATGTAAAAATAATATTAAGTAAAAATAATTCCAGTTCAGTAAAAATAAATTCAGTTCAGTAAAATTAATTTCAGTTCAGTAAAAATAATTTCAGTTCAGTAAATTCAGTTTTTTTAAAGAAGAATTATAATAGAAAATCAGTAAAAATAATTTAAGATCAGTAAAAATAATTTCAGTTCAGTAAAATTAAGTTCAGTTAAGTAAAAATAAGTTTAGTTCAGTAAAAATAATTTCAGTTCAACAAAATTAAGGTGAATCAAACAGGGCCTTATACTACAATACACTCAATTATTTATTTTTTAATTTGTACAAAAATGTATTAAATGACATCGAAGGTGATGGTAATTATATTTTTGCCGTTTTTAGCTGTCGGTGAAATTATAAGATACCAAGTTACACTGAATTGAAGTTTGTAGCACATGATACGAGCTACCTCAACGAGACTTGGTTACATTTGATTATTGAGCCCTATACTATTATATACGTTGGCATATTCTTTCGATAAGTACCAAAATATATTCTCGTTCTTATTATTTTTGTATTTTTTACAAAAATGATTCATTAATAATAATAATAATAATAATTTTCAAAAATAATAATAATAATAATAATAATAATAATGTTAGTTTGTTCTATATTTTACTTTTAGTGGAATTTTGGACTAGAAATTATTATTTTTTTTTTTTTTTTTGTGTTTAGAGAGCCACGAGGGCGGGGGCGAGAATTGATCCAAGGATATCCTGGAACCGGGAGGGAAACTCTAACCACTTGAGCTATCCCTCACTCTTATGGACTAAAATATGTAATGAAAAGCTAAAAGTATTTATACATCGATTAGTGCTATTATTATGTGTATGTAATTAATACTTAGTTCTTGCTTACTCTTTTAATTAAATTACCTTTTAACTTCGGGTATAAGTGTATAATTGTGTGACAACTGACGAGTATTTCTTTATATTATTGACAAACATTTCTTAATATTGACAAGTCAATATCAAAGTGCAATTAAATTATGTTGAAATACTATTAGGCCAATTCTCTTTGTCCTTTGAATAAGTGGAAAGGGCCTCTTTGACCAAATATTAGTGACAGTGATTAGTGAACCTGATGAAAGAGACATCAACATTAATTAAAGTGTAGGGTCCAGTAATTTAAAGTCCAACTACTCTAATGTAGCCATTCAAGCCAATTAGTTTGAAATAGAGGACATATTTTTTATTATTATTATATTATATTAGCGATTTAGCGGTTAATTATTTTATGAGTATTTTATAATAATTATAACTGCATTACTTATAAGTTTTAACACACTAAGAAGTAACACAATTTTTGTGTGTGGCTGGCCAATGGCTACACCATGTGATCAGCTAACACACAAGTAATTCTGACCAAGACCAACCAACTCCTGACTGAATAATTCCTGATCAAGTAACTCTAGAACGGCCGAGTAATCCCTGACTGAAATTATCCATTTAATTTATTTATTTTTTCATTTAATTTAAGAAGATCCATATATTTTTAGGCATTATTCTCTTTATTACCTTAAATTCTAATATAGATAAGCTTGGTGAAAATAAATTTTAAGCAATAGAAAGCATGACAACATACATTGTAGACCAATAACTCCTTTTATTATTATTAATTACCTATAACAAAGATCATCAAATCAACAAAAAAAGATCAGTTGATCCATTCACACAAAACAAACATTATTATAACTAATTAGTACTAATAATTAATTAACAAAGAAACTCAATCCTAACATCCTTAATAACCAAGTTTTCATTTCCCGTACGAGGTACAAAGATAACATCAATTCCTTCATCATCATCAGCCCCCAAATCACCAATAAGATCAGTTAACCCTAATTTCATAGTAGTCTTCATCATCAAGTTATTATTACCATGATCACCTTTCTTATTATGATGTTTATGTGGTACGTTCACGTAACTTCCGGCATACTCCGTCCTAGCACGGTTCTCCTTGGTAGGAATTTCGTCTTCATCATTGACATAAACGTCGAATTTTGAGTAAAGGTCATGCCTTGACTCGACCTCAATGACCAAAATCTCCTCTTCATCATCTTTCTCAAGCTTGCTTCTTGACTTTTGTGGCCTTTGTAAGTTTGTTCGTATAATGTGGTCTAACGCCCTAGGGAAAGTTATTGTTGGTACGGTGATTTCAGCAGCCACCGCGTTTTTAACCATAGAGAACGATGATTTTAATGATTTATTAAGGCGAAGGCGGGGAGTTGGACGTGATTTAAGCCAAGGGAGGTCCATTGGTTGGTAGACGTAACCCATTTTCTTGGTATCCAAGCAATCACGTACATATATTTTTATTAGTTTAGCATTTTCATCATAAAAATAAAAATAGGTGTTTAAGAAATCTTTGTCCTTAAAGTCTTTGTTCTTAGGGAACAATGACTTCCATATGGACCATGTCCTATCCACTTGAGCATGGTGGGCATAAAAGATTGGATCCCGCCCGGCCGAGTAAAAAATGCCCATGTCCTCCCACGTGGGAGTATTTGGTGGAGGGTTACCGGTCCAAGTATGGACCGTCCCGTGTGGTTGGTTTTCCATAGATCCAGATCCCGGGCTAGGTTGATCCCCAGCCCGGTAAGGTTCCCCTAGGAACATTGTAGGTTTCTTGGCATTGGACACCATTTGGCGGTACATAATAGTAAGGTTAAGGGTTATTTGATCATTGTAGGACATATTGTTGTTATTGTAAGGTTGTTCGGGTGGGCCGTCATAGGTTAGATCCATGACCGTAGGAGGGAGATGGGTTTGATCACGAATAGGGTCGAATAAAGGAGATTTAGGGTCATTAAACATGGAAGGGATTACCATACCATTAGGATGATCCCAATTCCAGTATGGTATAACAAAATTCGGGTCATCAATCAACTTACCCAAGATTTTTTCATAGAAGTAAAGGTAAGCCCTATGAAAAGGGAAAAATAACCAAGATCCATGGACTTGAAAGTCCAAATCCGGTAACCCGACTTGATGATAACCGTCGTTACAATAAGCACAATGTATATTAGCTTGTTGCTTAAAGCTACGAGGGTCACTATCAGGAAGAGCTTTCATTAAGGCTAGGGCTTTGGAGTACTTTTCTAAGTACTTGCCATCAACTAAATGGGCCGCGGGTCGGGTCCTCAAGTCATAGGGACTTACTATAGGTAGCTTGAAGTCCATAGCTTGTGAGGGTTTAGGTGGACAACAATTTAAGATTTTACCATTATCTAATATGGATGGCCCACATTGGCTCACATCCGGGGCGGTTGGGGCAGCTAGGGTAACATACCCTCCACTTAAGGAAGTGGCTGCCCCATAAAGACCTCCTAACCCTAGGAGCATGTTTCTCCTATCCAACTTTTTGGTCTCTGCATGGTTTTTTTGTGGGGTGTGTTGATCATCATTTGTTGAGGTATTGCATAAAATCTTGGGTGTAACACGGCGAGTTTGGCTCCATCTATAGGTGGTAAGTTGTAATGAATTCAATAGCAAAGGGTTACGTGAGACGGCGGAGAGGTTGGTGGTGGTGGAAGGAGGAAGTAATAAGGCCATTGCTATTATGTGCATGGTTTTTTTTTTAATTGGTATATGGGCATATGGCAGGAGAATGGGTAGATGTACTACCATTATATTTATAACGGTTGATAAAATTAGGGGAATCAATTACTTACTTTAGTTAAAAACATCATTAACAAATTAAATGCATTTTTCATAAAAAAAAATTGACAAGTACTCCGTACCTATAACACGTACTACCTCCGGCACATATTATTTGCAACGATTTGACATAAAACATAGAGGGAAAATGTCTAATCGTTGCAAATAATATGTAACGGATGCAACATGCATGTAGTATTAAAACTAAGTAAAGAATAGATAGAAATTAAGGAATTCGGCACCAGCTACGTACTTATATTTTTAATTTCCGTTTATGTAGTAATCCTATACCATAATAAGTACATTTCGACTAGTAATTAAGTAATTAAGTTAACGTAGTGCAAATTGCAAATTTGCATTTATAAACAAGGATTAATTTATGTCCACCAGAAACTCATCTAATTACTACATAACGTGGTACTCGGTACAAATTAAGCAAATGCATGTTTCTACTAAATGAGCTTAAATTAGGGATGTAAGAGAGCCGAGTCGAATCAGCTTGCCCTTAGGCCTAGGCTAGCTAGTAAGCTTGGTAAAATTTCGTTTTGAATGAACTCAGATCAATCTAACCCAAGCATAGCTGAGCTAAACTGGATTGAATTATTATTAATTAAAATAAATGAATGGTGATGTTTTAATATGTAATTAATATCTACGGAGTATAATATAATAATGAAGTATGAACATATATGCGGCATGGATGGTTTAAGTATGAACGGGATGAGCAAGTAAGTAACTGCAGCACCTAGCCTTTGAGAGAAAAGAAGTGAAGGGTTCGTTAAAAGTTGGGTCATGTGATGTCGCGTATTTTAATCCTCCTAGTTTAATCATTCAATTTTTATCATAACTTATAAAAATCGCGTAATGTACATGTCCACTTCTGAAACAATATGTAATGGCTCAATTTTAGAATAATGTCGCATGGGGCTATTGTTTTTATCACCTTATCGACATTTTAAGCCCGTCTTTGTATTATGTGGACACATGTTAATAATTAAGCAAACGTTTCCCCCGCCTTTTTTTTTTACTTCCTAAAAGGTTAAAAGTCAAAAGCTATTAGTACTACACTTTCCCCCGCTAATAATAGCTTGATTGATTGAACATATGTTATTTCTCCCAAAATAGAGCTTCCAAATTGTTCCCCTATAGAGTTATATATAGATACATGAATTTAAGAATTAACCTTAAAACAAGAGCTATTACCAATTAACGTGCATTTTCTGAAGACATGCTATTATTAGCCTTCATAAGAGAGTTTAGAATTGTATACCTTTAGATCGAGTGTTTAGAAAACCCCATTTGTAATGTATTATTCTTGAATAGCTAATAAAAACACTATAATATCTTCTTACATTTGGATATAGGATACGTTGTTTGAGTCATTTTTGCTGATAACTTATAGGAAGGGACTTTTTGAAACCCTATTCTCATTTTAGTTCTTTTACTTTGGTGTCTTACCGTACAAATCAAACACGTTACTATCACGTACCATCAATTGATCAATTGACAATTTGGGGGTGTGGGATTCTCTTATCTAGTTATCTTCCCCCACTCTTTCAAATTATCTAGCCCGCTAACCCGGATCAGGACGACCTGTGAAAGGTTTCGGCCCGGTAGGACCCTTCTCCTTTCCAACCAAAAAAAAAAAAAAAAAAAAAGATCCATAAGGATATATATACATGGCCTAGTCAATACTGACTCAGGTGCATGCATGTTTTTTTTGGGGTGGGGGGTGGATTGCTTGCTAATTTTTTATTTTTCATTTCAAAGAAGAAAAAACATTTAGTACAGTACACTATATTGTATGCATAGCAAAAACATGTTTCAAGATTATATTAGGGACGTAAATGAGCTAATACATTCAAGAACAACTAGAATGAGCCTAGGTTGAAAAAATTCGTGTTTGACTAGTTAGAGAGGTACAAGTACCTGAAGAACTACGTACTGAGTATAGCTCATCAAGATAGTGAGACAGACATCAAATTTTAGAATTTTAATCTCAGATTTTAGAGTTTCAGACATAATATCTTATATACTCCCTATATGTATAGTATACTAGAAGGCTACCAATAAATGGGTTCGTTTGGCATTGATGTGGTTTTCTGTTTTTTGGTTTTCTAAAAGTATATGATATGTGTCCCATAATGAATCAAAAATTATATAAACTTATTAAAATTATGATAATTTTGAAAACTGTCAACAGAAAAGTGAAAATACCTTTTTCTTGTTTCCTATTTTTGGTTTTTGGTTTTCAAAAAAACAGGAAACTGAAAACCAAAACTGATGCCAAACAATAAAAATGTCTACCATTAAAAGGAAAAATAAAAAGGAACTAGCTGATAAGTCTACGCGTGTTTGCATTATAAGGGTAAATAAACTATTGTTGCTTTTCTGGCCCATATAAAAAAGAATGCGTATTCCTTTTTAATGGGCTTGAATTGAACTAATTCACACATTTTATTAAAATATCAAACGTAACATTATCAAAATATACATCACATAATACACCATTTTTTGTATACGGCGTGTTATACTGTGCAGCAGGGGTTATTCGAGTTTCTTAGTCAAAGATTACTCAATTTGCTGGGGTTACTCGAGTTACTCGGTCAGGGATAACGCGAGTTATCGAGGTTACTCAAGTTACTCGGTCAGGGTTTACTTGAATTACTCCTGACTAAGTAACCCCTCAAGTAAACCCTAACAAAACTCCTTAAGTAAGGGATTGTTATGTTCACTCAGTTCAATTCAATTCAGTTCAACTCCAATCAGTTTAGCTCTAATCAGTTCAGTTCAGTTCATTTCCTTCTCTCATAAACAATTGATTTTAGCTTTATTTAGTTCAGTTCATTTCAATCTTAATCAGTTCAGTTTCGTTGTATTCAGTAAATCCGAACAGGCCCTAACCCTTGACCAAATTACTCGAGTAACCCTTGACCTAACTCCTTAAATAACCCCTGATCATGTAACTCGAGGAACCCCTAACTGAATAACCCCTCAAGTAACCCTTGATCGAGTGAACCCCTCAAGTAATACTTATCTGAACCCCTCAACTAACCCTTGACCGAGTAACTCGAGTAACCCCTGACTGAATAACTCAGGTAACCTCTAATAAAATAACTCTGATACCCCCGTCACACGATGTGGTCTACTGCATCAAAAAGTTGTTGCACATAGTATATGATTCAATAACTTTAATTCCTACGCCTGTCAAGTGTCAAGCACTTAAACTCCTAAATTACCAGGCAATACGTACACCCTTTTATTTAGTCAATTCTCATATCTTATACAAAGTATCACTTCTAAATTTTAACTAATTAAGATATGATTACCTTAGTCATTTCCTTTCATCTCATTGCAAGATAAATGATGAATGTAAAAAAAAAAATGTTTACCAAACTATACAAAGTCATATATTCCCTACAAGGCCAACTTCCACTAATGGGCTTCTAGCCTTCTACCCAACACAAATTGTAAGGCTACTTAGAAAACAAAACTCATCGGTGGAATTAGAAAACAAAGTATTTTAACACATGCTAGATAGTAGATAATATCACTAAGGGTCTGTTCTCTTACGTTGAAATTCAGTTCAACTCCTAATTTCCTTCTCTTATAAAATATTCATTTCACTTCAGTTCACTTCAGCTGAGTTCAGTCAATGAGAACATGGCCTAAATTAAATTACTAAATAGTTAAATACCAATAACCAACCTATTGAGCCTGATATACCTTTTACATAAGAAACTGCATTAAGTGTCATTTATACCAAGTTTGGCCTTGAATAATTGGGCTATTGTATATTTCCAGCCTCCACTCTAGTCATATTAGGGGCACATCCGGCCACCGGACACGGTGAGAAATATCTCTCTTGACTCGATATATTAGAACTTGCTATATCACAAGTTGCAGACTAAACTTGTTGAGTTCCATCCCAACTACCCCTAAGCCTAAATATGGTCGCCTAGGAAAGAATTAATGTACACCACAATTGCATATATCTTCCATTGTTGCGCAAATAAGTTTGGATTCTTGATTTTATTCATTCCAATTCTGGAATAACTTGTAGTTGACATAAGTAGGTTGATACACCGTAACTTATCCATTTTGCTACCCTTCCATTGGTTTTCGAGCCCACAAAATACGGCTTTAAAATACACTAATAGCATCTCCATATATTTATAGTCAATATATGTATCACACTCTCTCTAGAATTCACGACCTTGTTGTACCCATAGGATATCTTGGTAGCCCTTTATCTCATACTAATAAATGGTCACTTGATCAGCACCTATCCAGGGCTTGGTAGTAAGGTCAACAAGCCGGCATCATTCACAAACGTGATATTTTGAAGCACTAATACCCCTAGCAGTTGTACGTGAACAAGTTAAAGCAAAGTTTAATCTATATAGGTCAATAAATATATACAGCAAGATGCAACATATATATGTATTGTATTTGTGCAATATATGTACAAACACTACTAGAAAACAGCCTAATTCCGACGGATTCGTTCCGACGGATGTATAATTCCGTCGTAAATTTCGAAATTTCCGACGGAATTTAAATCCGTCGGCAAATATGTATTTAACGGCGGAATTTTCCGTCGTAATTCAAAATTTCCGACGGAATTTAAATCCGTCGGAAATTTCCGACCAAAAATTCCATCGGAAGACAATTTTTTTTTTTAAAGCCCTTTATTTTATAAACCCTAACCGACACTCTTATCCTTTTATTCCATCTGTTCTCTTTCCTCTACTACGCGCCTCTTTCTCTCTCCTCTCCTCTCTTCTTCTCTGGTAATCTCCTCTACTTGTTCTACCCTCTCCTCATTTCTATCTCCTCCTTCTCTTTCTATCTCCACATTTGTCTTCTCTTTCTCTGTTTTTTTTTCGGCGATTGATGTGATGGCGAGTGGTGTGGCGGCAACGCGGTGGTGCTTCTCAAATATTTCAAAAATTAATGGTTTTTTTGGTCAAATTCGACCATAAAAAGACTAGATCTAGGCTTTTTGTGGTCGAATTTGGCCTATTTAAACCAAATTCAACAATTCAAAGCCAATTTTTATTATTGAGGTATGTTTTTCGACATTTTTTTGTTTTGTTTTTAAATTTTTTTCGGTTGGTGG